CAGAGATGAACAGAGAAATGAGGCCTAATTTGGGAAAGCTCAGAAACACTTAATTCTGCCTTATTATTAAGCCTCGCCACTACAGCACGTTCCACACTCCCCTCTACCCCATGTAAATCTGTTTTCCCTACTACCATCTGGAAAATGACACCACAGCCTACAGACAAAAACCAGCAAATTTTAAAACAGCTTTTTCTCAAGGGCAATAAGACTGCTGAACAACCAACCGCAGCAGCCACCAAATTACCCAAACGACCACTGATAAATAGTCAGTCCACTGCGTTTTGTTTTTTTTCTTCCCCGCCTGCGTTTTTTTATTATTGCGTAATCTTGTAAATTGTAACTGTATAATTTATTGTTTTCTTCTTGTAACCTTCTATCAAATTCTGTCCTATCTCTTCTTGGCAAGCTTGCTGAAAATGCATTTCACTGCCGACAACCACCACTATATGCTGTATTGTTCTGCATTGATAAACAACCCTTGATTGATTGAAATAAACTTGGTTCGCACAAGTTCTGTGCTGTTCCATTGCCATGAAATAGCTCAAAATCATCTTGTCCACCTGAGTAATAATTCACCCTGCATCATTTTTATGTTACAGGGAGCTCTTAACATAAATGACAGAACCATCCCTCAACCTGGACTGCTGCAGCTCTCTGTGGAGAAGCTGAGCAGGGAGGGGGCCTTCCTTATGGATACTGGGATGGTGAGCACTTCCTGCGATTTCCTATTTCACTTCCTATGACTCTATGGATGCGAGAACTGTTTTGAATGATACTCCTGAGGGCCCTTCTTGTTATCAAGGCTTTACAAGTACTGTATAACAATTCAGCGAGGAGAGGTCACAGGAGTTTCCTCTGCGGGATGTGATTAGAAATGCATCATGAGTGGATTTTTCACAAGGGTTGGGGAGAGCTGTGATGGCTTCCTTGATGGTGACTGATTGATAAGTACCATATGCAGTAAAGAAGCTTTTTATTCTTTAGGCTTATACTTGTTTCATTGCAGTGGGACACAACTGCAAAAAAAAAAGCTGCTGATTTGTAAAAGCTTAAAGGCAAAGAATAATCGGCTTTTAATTTAAATGTTTAATCTGCTACTTTAAAACAGTGAATAGATTAATTTTGATGATTATGTTATCTGATTAGTCTTATTTAAGGATAAGCTTATTGTATGATTTTCCCTTAACCTTTGAGACATTTTAAAAGATTGAAGCTCTGGGTGTTGCTAAAGTACAGTCCAGAGACATCTGGTCAGTATCCGAAGTAAGAATGCATTGTTTATAGAGCCTGTCCTTTTACAGGTGTTGTATCTGTGGATTGGAAGAAACTGCAGCTCCAACTTTATTACCCAGGTGCTGGGAGTACCAAACTACTCAGCAATACCTCAGAACATGGTAAGGCAAAGCAGCCAACTGAGCAGAAACACCAGGACTGTGGTCACACTAGAGCTTCTCAGCTGATAAATGTTCTTGTATTTGTTACAAAACAGAATCAGCTCCCTGAATTGGACACAGCTGAGTCTGTGAGAACAAGAGCCTTCACCTCCTGGCTAAGAGAACAGAGGCCATTTTTCCCAGTGCTTCATGTGATCAGGTAAGCCAGGCTGCTCTTTCATTTGAGCCGAATTATGACAGATTAGTTGTGGATAACAAGACGTTTTGATGTTAAGAACAGTGCATCGAGGGAAATTTACCACATTTCTTGTTCCACAGTACGTTTAGAGATCCCCTGTTTACTGTTTACTGATTAGAATATTCTTCTAATATATATTATTCTAATCATTGTGACACTGGTGTTTTCCTGTAAAAAAACTCAGAAATTAATAATCTCTTATTGCAATCCATATTTACAGCCTGATTTATGAAACCATTCCTGATCGAGAGGTTTCTCTGTTCATTCAAAGGACCTTTCACAATTTCCTACCGTACCTAGTGGGTTTTTTCGTCAGATATGATGGAATTTTAGTTTATAATACTCCTTTCTGTATTTACAGGGATGAGAACCAACTCAAAGCCATCTTTATGCAAAATATGATCGAGGACCGAACAGAATCTGCACTGTCGTACTATGAGTTCCTGCTTCATCTGCAACAGCAAGTTAGCAAATAAGCAAGTCCAGTGAAGGCAGAATGATGACGAATAGAATATTATAGGTATTAATGAGTGAGGGAAGGATCAACAGGAGGCATTTTGAATAGAGCTGTTTATCTTCAGGCACTTAAGTCTTGGCTAATTTTTAAAGCATTTCTTTTTTGCCTCTTGAAGATTTAACTTATTTGTGGCATGACTGAAGCACACCGAGTTACTGGACTCTAATAAACACAGACCTTTTTGCTGAAGGGGGGTGCTCCATTACTGGCTCTGAGCTTTTGGTAACAAAGAACTTAAGCATATCAACATCAAATGACAGAATAAGCTTTACACAAAAGAGAAGAGAGGATATCAGGAAAATCAGTGTGAATCCCCAGAGAAACACTTGTAATAAAGACTGCTTTTTCAGTCAAAGACAAGAGGCTTGAAGCCATTTTGTCTAAAGCACATTTGTTTGATAATAAAGTAATATATATGTATTATACGCATTCTGAGATATTGTCTGCCTGTGGGGGTTGATGTTTGATATAAGCAGCACTGCTTGTTAAAGATGTTTTTCAGGTTGAGAAAACTCACACACTTTCTCCTGTTAGATTATGAACAATGGTCTTTACTATAAGATTAGGGGAAAAATGTTAGAAGTACTGTTTTTTCTTTCATCATGCATCAAACAAGCAATTATGTTTGCAAACTAAAGCAGAAAATCACAGGACAGCTATTTCACCTTTTAAGTGGTGTAAAGATATTTTATGATCTCTTAGAGTTCCTCAACTTCTACACTGAGTTATATTTCCCTCTGAATTTGGCCATAATTGGGCGAAGTGTAAAGTGTATTCTTTTTTTAATTTATGAGAAAGCCTGTACGAGATTTATTTCTGTAATTACCTTGTATGAGAACTTGATTTTTATCCTTGAACCTCTGTGTTTAAATGTTGACACTATATATGAAATATTTTGATATAATAGTATAAAAGTAATTTCTTTAATACGTACTTAGAATTAAGCCATTTTTGATCTTTAACCTTGCTTTGTTGATTAAAAGGTTTACAGTAAGAAATCTAAGTGATAAAATTAAAGAATTGATTACTGTGAAATGACGCTATAAATAAAATGGATGGTTCTTTTTAACCCTAGTGATTGATTTATGCTATGGAAACCATTGGAGAAGTAGCTTTTTCAGATGATACAGTTATTATATTGTTAAATCCAGATGAGAAATATATGGTGTTTACTTTGCAGTTGTGTATATAACAGCCAGAATGTACATTTTTACATTGTTTGCTGCACAAGGCTTCACTAAGTTCTTTAAGACCTGTTGGTAATGTATGATGTGGTATGTTTGTCTACAGTCTTCCTTGTCTGTGTCACTTGTAGCATTTAATACTTGTTGCTTTCACTCCTGTTTTTCAGGATGACTAATGGCCCCAGTTAATTTTGCTAGCCCACATGCATAGTAAAAGTGTTTGGTTCTTGGAATCTTGTCATTAATTGTGGGATGTTTCTTGGAAAACAATGATACGCTTTTTCTTAAGATGCTGAGGTATTTCCAAGGTAAAAGGTTTGTACTCTGTATATTCATTAATCAGTCAGGAGCAAAATTCTTATTTTTTGTTTTCAACTGCATGGTTTAGTTTATTTGAAACAAGACATTTTTACCTTTTTTGAGCTATTTCTTAACATCTTCACCACTGAGGTTAGTATAATAGTGTTTTATTTTTAATTTAAAATTCTATGGCAGTATTCTTTGTGAGATTATAATGCAGTTGAGAGCCATTTTGGTAGTCTAGGAGTTTAGATTATGACATGCAACATAGCTCCATGCACTAGAAGCAAGCCCAGTTTAACACAAAACAACTCTCTTGATATCATTTTCTCCTTGGGAGCATTTGTTTTTCTTCCATTAACTTGTACTCAAATATTTTTGATACCCCCACTTTCATTTATTAACCCAGCAGAAAAGTGTTTTTTTCTGAAAAATAAAAAGACCTGATTCTGAAGATGTATTTTATATTTATTTTAGCGTCTCTTAAAAAAAGGCATAATGAATTCTATCAAGCTGTGGGACCATTTTATGTGGCTTGGGGATGACGTGCTACTGAAGTCTCCTGTGCAAGTATTAGATGAGTAGCCATTTTGTACATATAAGTTGTGCTTGAAGCTTTCATGGAACTTTAATATAGTTATGGTTTTATGCCTCCAAGCAGGCATTAAATCCTGTGAGTGTCTGGCATTTAGATTTATAAATCCTTTGCTCCCGTGCAGATGTTTTAAAAGCAGTTTTCTATAAGACTTTCAGAACGCAAGGTGACCTGTACTTGCACAGGTGACTTTAATGCTGATGATCTGTACAATGTAAGCACAGCAGAAAATCATTTTGTAAAGTAGTGTACATTACTGTAACAAAATTAAATACTAGTTCTCTATGATGTTTGAAAGTGTGCATTAATTATGAGATGTTGACCAATTTTCTTTTACGGGAAATAAATTTAGACTAATTTAAGGCACTCAGAGTGGGGAAGGAGAGTTTTAGAAGTACACCCAGAAGACCTTCCACATATTAATGCTTTAGACTTGTATCAAGCTGAATATGTGTGCACTGCTAGAAGCTTGGGACTTCTTCCTTATTCCTTCTCAGTCGTGGAAAGCAATGTTAAGGATTATTGTGAATACTCACTCAAGGTCCATACCTACATCCACATTTATATCCTAATCCATATCCTACAAGGTGGATAATAAACCTGGTCTTTTCTACTAGTAATCAGGAAACATATTTTACCATCTGTGGAGGATGACCCACCAAAAATGTGAAGGCCCCACAAGACTGAAAATTGTGAATTGGGATGTATTCTGAATAAGTTTGGTTGAACAGTGGTGTTTTTGGCGTTCTGGTGACAAAGTTACAAGCTGTGAGTAGCAGCTGTGCTATGAAGTTAAAGCTGTGTTTTAGCTATCCAAACATTCCAAGAGATTTTGCTTTGTCCGAAAATTCTAAATAAAGCCAGCATTGTCTTTGTCCCTGAAGCCACACAGTTACTGTCAGGAATCTTCCACATGACCTGTTCTCACTTGTTTCTTCACTCGTTCATGTGAGAAATCAGCTGAGCTTTGGTGTCAGTTTTTGGTGCATTCTCCTATTAGGTCTTTATTTCCAGTTCTGCATTGGTCGTCCTCAAATTTATTTTCTGTCATTTTTGTACACTCTGTAGTGTGAGGGTAACTATTCCTAAATTACAGAGAAGACTGAACCCAAGTATTGGAATAGTGAATTGAAGTTGTCCCTTGTGATTGTTTGCCCAAAATAATGTGGCTGTGAGGTACACACCATAAATTGCTGTGTGGGGACTTGAGCTCATGTCCATGGGGTTTTCACTATTGCTGGGGTGATCAAGGATATTACTGGATTCTGTCTGAGGAATGTTGGTTCTGGTTCAAGAAAAAGGTGCTTATGAGTCGATATCGGTGATGCATGGAAGATCCTGTGTATCTCAGTAGGAGGATTTAAGGAAGGTTTGTGAGGTCTGGTCTGGAAGCAGAAGACAAAAAGGACATTGCATAGCAGCTGGATGCTGACATGTCATACTGAGAATCTGAGCCCTATCTGAGGAGAGCATAGAAACTGTCTCTTATGTCTGAAAGCAGTCAGGAGAGGTCCAAAAACCAAGAGAAGATGATCTCTCTCAGTAAAATTTGGGGAGCCAGAGTTGTGAGGGAGGTGTTTGGGCAGGTAGGCTTTATTTGGATATGTTGTGGCTCAGCAAAAGCTGGAGAGAGGAGAACTGTCTCTCCAGAAGAATCCTGCACTGGATCAGAAGCTGTGACAAAGAGAAAAGGGTATTTGCTAGGGCAGGTTTGTGCTTCTTGGCAGATGGTAATGCAATGAGCATATTCTGTTGAGTAGTGAAGAGGGAACCATGCACAATGCACTCTTACCAGCTATATTATTCCACGGATGAATATGCAAGCATTAAGAGTGGAATAAAAAGTCTCGCTAAACATCTTGAAAATAACACTTCAAGATTGGTGCCACACTGTTCTGAATACCTGGTTCTAGAGTGACAGCTAAACATATAAAAGGCAGATAGTTTGATTAATGCCATTCTGGCCTCTCCCACTCTTTGAAGTGGATTGTTATCCAAACCAACAGTATAAAAAGAGGTGTGCATTTTGACAGTTGTTTTCCTCATTAGCCTAGCACTTAAAGTGAACATTTTTATTTTAGGTTTTCCTTAAGCAAATCATTATTGTGGAAGAGGGAAGATAACTTGAGACTTTATATACTGAGCATTAGAACACTTTATTCTCAAGTGATCTTTTTTAGAATACAGATTTTTTATATTGATTAAATGTTTTTGGCATTATTTTAATTAGTTATGTTGTTGCCTAAGCACTAAGTAAGACAGATGATTTGGAAAAGGTGTTTGGGAAAACCACATAGAAAGCACTTTGAAAGAGGTGTGACAGACCGGCAAAATGTTGTTCTTTAATGAAGTACTGTATGTTTCTGTGTTGAGGGGGGTCATACACTAATTGTATAAATAACAAATTTTGTACTAATGGGTGAAGTAGACAAGGAAACTGCTTCAGGCAATCTGTTATTTCACGAAATCCTTTTGAAAATAAGGCAATGATGCAGCAGAGATTTCACAGCCCAGGGCTTTATTGACAAAGTTGTGCAATTATTGGCTGTCCAACATTGTCTTGATTTTCCACATGATAATGCCCAATCCACACACCACGAAGCTCACCAAAGCATTCCTAACAGAGAACAATGTTTAAACAGTAGACTTACTGATACTTAGCCCAGATCTAAATTGTATTGAAAATGTGTAGAATTGAACAGTGAGGAGAGAATAACAGGGGTCCAGCAATAGTGAACACCAGACATTTAGATAATCTTTTTCTAAATAGGTAGACTTGTGCAGTTGTAATGGTGTGTAATAGAGAGGACAGACCTATTCCTCATCTACATTTTAGTCCTGGATAGGTGGAAATAGCCAACAATATACACAAGTATATGATTGAGACATGATGTATTGATACTACCTTAATTCATTTGATACTAGGACTAAAATTATATTGTCAGTTAATAATAATCCAAGTTTAAAAATATTAACAACACATTTCAGAAGCTGGGCAGTTTATTAAAAACCATACACTAATAAGGGAATGTGAGATACTGCACACACAAGACACAGCTACATTAATGCTGTTGACTTACAATATCATCAGAACAGAAAATATAATAATAGGAATATATCTGCTCTGGGTCTGCTCTTCATATGTGTCAGAAAAGCAGGATACTGCATCTTAGAAGCATGAGAACAAAATGAAAAACCTAAACCTTAAGTGACAACTGTTTCTATCCTTCTATATTGTCAAGAATAATTTGTGCATATTATGCAAACAACCTCTTTCAAGCCTTTTATATTCAATTAGGTAGGTTATACATCATTTTCCCCCATTTTTTTTTCTGTGGAAGATGAAGGGAAATCATCTGTGTTCATCCCATCGGTGGATTCTCTTGTGAGGGCTGTAAAGACCACTTCAGTTCTCATCAAGTCTGCATCTGTCTTCTTCCTATATCCTCTGTAAATTCTGTAAGCTGTAAAAGTGAAAAGGTCACAATATACCCAAGTCGGGGAAGATTGAACATTTTTGAATTATGCAATCACATTAATTAGACTGTCACAAATTGGTTAGGATGGCCAAGTGTGTTGAGTCACTTCCACATTGGAAGTGCAATATCCACATTTGTTCAGAACAAACTGCTAACCTAATGTTCCAATCATCAAAGCTTAATTACACATGGAGGATTGGAATTTTGCATTTTATAAACCTTTTGCTTAATGAGCTCAAATTGAACAATGGTTCTATCTTTTAATCACTGAAATAGATGTGATTTAAGAAACATTCATGCCATTCCTGTTCAAGTGGAAGAAAAAAAAATATATGTAATATGCAAACAAATATGTTGGGGAGCAGCTGATGTTAGTATAACCTAAAATGCGTAAATGGAGTTAATTTAATAATATCTACTATAGTGGAGGAATAGCAAATTAGAACAGATGTTTTACAGATTCATTTTCATACATTAAGCAAGCAGGTGACAAATCTAATTAACACATTTCAATCATCTCTTGCTAGATGTCCAGACACCTGCTGTTTGAACCATGATATACCTCAAGTTACTATATTGTTGTAAATCTATGACCATTAAAGAGCTGTACAAGAGCCTTTCAGTCTGTGCCCATCAAGTATCAAATTTGACATTTTTAGTTCAGTTATACTATGACATCAGCTGAGTGACTGGTGGGATTAGACCCTGTGGTCTGTAAAAGAAAAAGAGGGTTTTTAGTTTTGGTAAAATGTTTTCAGTATTAACATCTAGTCTGTTGAAATCCTCATTTGCAATGCATACTTACCAGCTATAAGTACTATTGCAAAAAATGTGAAGCTACAGGAATAAACCATAGGGTAGAAAACCATCTCGCCAACCATCATTTTTGGGAATGAAACCTGAAGGATGGTGCTACACATGGTAGCATTCTGAACACCAGTTTCCAGAGAGATAGTTCGACACCTAAAAGCAAGGACAAGATGATGGAAGTATAACTGGACAGGGGGAGGTCATAAGGCAGCAACCTGGACAATTGTCCTGTCCATGAGCTCCCTCTGCCCCAGTCCCACCTATTTTACTAACTCACCATCTCATTCTCTCCTGGCACTTTTTCACCATTTGACATGTTTCAAGTGCTGTTGCACTCTCTTTTTGATAACCCATCAACCCTTTTGTTTTTTAAAAAAGAGATCAGCTAAGTTTCTCTTACTCACATACTGTTCCTGATCTAAATAAGGACACAAATGCATTTCTTGAGAGAATCTATGATGGCAATATTTTGTAACGTATTCTTACCTCTTCCATGACTGACAAGCCATTCTTGCCAAGAGAAACCCAAACCCATATCCGACACAAGGAGTAATGATTCCAGTAAACAAAAGAGAAGCATCCATGTCCCACATGTCTTTGTAAAGGATTATTGAGACGACCATGCAAGCAATGAGCAGAAAGCTCCCGAGAGACACACCGACCTAGGGAAAGTCAAATGTGCCACACTCAAGACAGAGAGTTACAGATCTCCTAAGTAAAGGTCAAATAGATCTCTAAAAACGCCACAAATGTTATTTTATCAGTAGCACATAGTTTATCAACATATTTTAATGTACAACTCTGTGAAGAAAGTTCACTGCTATATATGATTAGTTTTCTTCTCATAATATTTTGTTTGCTTTTTAATAGAAAATTAGTGCTTAAACAAAGAATCACCATCCTGCAGTGCTGGTTTGAAAGGAGGCTTATTTGGGAACCTTCCATCTTGGTTCAGTAAAGATGGCTGCTGAGTAAGTGTAAACAGGTTTATAATTAGACATACCTGGATACTGAGTGTGGTGCAAACGGAAGCCTGGATGAGTGACCAAATGAGATCAGCCAGAAGAGAGAGGAAGCAGACAGACATTCTTGGAGCAGGACTGAAATAACTAATATGTCTGTGGGACTCAGCTAGCAGTGGATGAAAAGATACAGTGAAGATGAGTTACTGAAGGATGTCACAGGCACAGGACATGTGGGTTTGATGTTAGCTCCTTTTCACCCAGATTGAAAGGGTAAAAGTTGTGAGAAGGGGAGGCAAATAAAGAGAGGAAATTCTGCTGATTGCCAGAAGAGGACTTCTAGGGTTAACAGAAATGATGCAAGGTGAGGTTGACATGCAGGAGGCTTTTCCTCACTTACCTTTGCAATACATCTTGCTGTAGCTGGCCATTTTACGTTCAGGAGTAATCCAAAAGAAGTTGGAACAAAAACTGAAACCATGGTTAATCCTGTAAAGATGTGAAGTCTAGTTTTAGTCTATGGTTTAACATGACTACAGCACAATCCTCTGAAACAGTTATTTCTCCCATTCTCAGATCCTTCTAGTCCCTAGATGCAGTTTCTGTAAGCACAGTCTGTATTGCAGAGTTGAAATCACCTTACCTATTTTTTCAAAGGGTATAGAGATACTACCAGCAGCAGTCCATTTGCTTGTGTAGATGAAGAAACACAGAGGAAGAGTCCCAAAGGACAGGAGTGTAGAGACTGTAGTCATACACATGCTGTAAAACAAAATTTGAGCATCAGTGCGGCAAAGCAGTTCAACTATGGTCTGACCTGGAGTGCAAGGAGTGAGTTATTGGATAGTTTGGATTCTGAGAAAGTTTCAGCTGCTGGATATAGATACTGTAGATATCTATATCTGTAATTACTGTATAACTGTATAGATATAGATACAGCAGGGCCAACGGACAGCTGGGAGAATTCATCCCCCAGGAATCCGGAGTAAGACAAGAGTGTCCTCTTTCACCTCTTCTCTATGTTCTTGTAGCGCATTCGCCCAGCGCTGTGGCCGAAGAGCGCCCGGCTGGGGTACGCAGCGATGGGCAGGATGGGAGTGGTAGTGGTCAAGGCACGGATTAGGAAAGCTGCTGACCAGTGCAGCTGACCCACTGTGAAACAGGCTGAGGAGTCTGGGGAGATCGCCCGTTTTCGTGTAAATAGTTGGTTTCACACCCTTGTGTCGCTCTCTCTCTCGCTCACTCTCGCTCTGGCGCTGGCTCGTTCTCTCTCCCTCTCTGTCTGTCGTTTTCCCTGCTGGCACATGGGCACAGGTGTGCTGTGCTGGCTGTACCGAAGTTTAATATAAGTGCTGTTTTCTCTACTCAACGAGTGTCTGAGTCACTGAGTCCGTCCTCGCCGAACCTGAATTCGCTACGTTCTCTTTACAAAGCCACTGGCAGAGGCGGTGAGATAGAACCCCATCATTGAAGGCCTGGTGATATCAGGAGGCACAGGGGAAGTCCTCAATATCTCCCAGTATACAGACAACGCTGTTCCTGAACCCAGACAAGTGTTTGCAGAGAGCATTGCAGGTTATGAAGCGGTACTCTAGGGCCTTGGCCTTGAAGCTCCACTGCCAAAAGAGTAGAGTCAAGTTTTTTGGAACCTGCAGGGACAGGAACACAGCACCAGAAGGTTTCAAGTTCTGCATGGAATGATACTAGGGGTTTCATTTTTAGAGCCAGGACAACGAGACCATAAACTGGACAGGAAGGATCACCAAGGTGAACACGAAACTGGGCCTGTGGGAAAACGCAATCACTGACACTCATGGTGAGAGTGGTCGTATTAAAACCCGACATTTTATATACGTGACCACGGCATACCTGCTGCCATGGCAAAGATTTCTCCATGGCAAAGGAGCACTGGAAAGGACTATAGGCCTCTTCACGGGCTGAAGAGGAAATACCTGTTTCTTACTGCTCCTGTGGAAAGCTGGACTATTGCAGCTTCAGAGCCAGGACAAGTTTTAGTGACATGCAATTAATAATAATAATAATAATTGCTTACACTTATATAGCGCTTTTCAGGACACTCCACTCAAAGCGCTTTACAAGTAATGGGGACACCCCTCCACCACCACCAATGTGCAGCATCCACGTGGATGATGCGACTGCAGCCATATGCGCTAGAACGCTCACCACACATCAGCTATCAGTGGGGAGGAGAGGAGACTAATGAAGCCAATTCATAGATGGGGATTATTTGGAGGCCATGATTGGTAAGGGCCAATGGGAAATATGGCCAGGACGCCGGGGTTACACCCCTACTCTTTTCGAGAAACACCCTGGGATTTTTAATGACCACAGAGAGTCAGGACCTCGGTTTTATGTCTCATCCAAAGAACGGCGCCTGTTTACAGTATAGTGTATCTGGATGGCCTTCAGATCACTGGTGACACAGGGTTTATTATTGGAGGAGCAGCACACTTTCCTGGTGGGCACTGCACTGTCAACACAGAAGTTTATGTAGTCAGTGATGCAGTGGGTAAAACCATCAATGTCATCTCCATAAGGCTCACAGACTATCTCCCAGTCTGTTGTTTCAAAACAGTCCATCAGTGCATCATTAGCCTCCGCTGACTACCTTCTTACTGTCCTGGTGGTCACTGGTTGTTGTAGGACAAGAGGCAGAGGCCTGTACAGAGATAGGAGATGAACAAGGTTGTGGTCAGATCTGCCAAGGGGGGGGAGTGATTAGGAGCTGTAGGCATTCTTGACATAAGCATACAGCCAGTCCAAAGTCTTATTATCTCTTGTAGGGCATTTAACAAGCTGACTAAAAGTAGGCAGAGGAGAGGAGAGCGAAACATGATTAAAATCACCAGTGATCAGGAACACGCCTTGTAGTCCATCTGCAACTGTGTATGACGTCACACGCTGGGACTGCGTCGGCAGAGGGCGGGACATACAGCAACACAACAGTAACGTGCGAGAACACCCTGGGTAGGTAATATGGCCGCAGGTTAACTGATAGCTCAATGAGCGGGGTGCATAGCTGTTCTTTTACAGTAGTATGATTAAGGTTACAACATCTGTTATTCACAAACACTGCCGGCCCTCCTCCTCTCTTTTTACCGCTCTCCTTGGTTTTCCGATCCGCACGCATCTGAAAACCTTCTTTTGTAGCATTAGCGTCGGGAACCAGTTCGTTCAACCATGTCTCTGTGAAGCACTTAATACAGGACTCAAGATATTCCGACTGGTTCCTCGTCAGTTCCGCTAACTCCTCCATCTTGTTGCCAAGAGATCGTACATTCCCCATTATGATGGAGGGTAAAAAAGGTTTATAGCTTCTTTTTTTAGCCCGACACGTTTCTCCGGATCTACAGCCTCTACTCCGTTGTATTACTAGTTCTCTGGGGATCTCCAATCGCTCACCCGAGAACATTGCCGACTTTGTAACATGAAGAGCTGGTTTCTGGTGTAAACAAAAGAGCCCGGTTTGCCCGTAGTACATGCCGGTTTAAAAAGTTGCTCAGAGACCGTCATAAGTCCAAGAGAGGAAAAAAAAAGTAAACGATATTCCGCCATATGTGTAAAACATAATTTAAAAACATCAAATGAAAAAAAATTTGCAATGATCTAAGACATTTGTACTGTTAAGTTAATATCCCTTGATAAAATTACCTACAGAAATATCTCCATTTTCTATTGGAACTTAAATCTTAAATTTAATCTTAAATTAAAATCTAAATGAGCATAATTTTACAGATCTATCAACATATGAATACCAGTGAAAGGACAACAATAACTCATCTAGTCATGATTACATATTTTATGAAAATAACCTATAGGTCACCTATAGGTTTTTTACAGAAAATACCCCAATATTTAAAGAGTTCCAATAGAAAATTGTACACATGTCTCAGATCATTGCACTTTTTTTCATTTGATGTTTTTGAAGCCTGCTTGACAGCACACTGGCTTCTATAGTGTAGTACACTGTACAATATGGCAAATCACAAGTCATGGATATTTATATAGGACACAATCACAATTCTTAAAACACTCACAAATGTGTCAAAATACATCTTGGCTCTCTTCAATAACACTCAATACATAGGATTCCAAGCTTTCTTTGCAAATAGTCAAAACAAAGTTCAGCAATGGTAGGCTTGTGATGCAACAGATCTTGATTCAGTCTTACATTTCTTACCTGAGGTCTATATCTCCATCCATCCAATAAGTTGCCAGATTTGAGGTAATGCCCCCAGGACAGCTCCCCATCATAATTACTGCAATGGCATGAGAGGCTTTCATTTTGAATGCCAGTGCAAAGAGGAAGCAGGAGAGAGGCATCAGCCCAGCTTGACACAAGAATCCAGTGCACAGAGCCCATGGCTTTTTCATATGGAACCAGAGTTTCTGTGTATCTGAAGAGCAACCCATTGAGAACATGACAATTACCAATGTCACAACTAATACCACTGAGTAGATCACACCCACAAGGTCATCAATCTCATTTGAATCCAGCAAAGTGCCATTGTTGCTTGTTCCATTCCAGTTTTGTTCCATATTTGGATTTTGTGCCTAGTCACCACTTGCTGGACTCTTTTCAGTTGTGTCTTCAAATACAAGGTGGGAAAACTAACCTCAAGAATAACTTCCTCCTTTTGGTTTATAACTATTGTGACAGTGGAACACACCTCCCACTGCACTCCCCACTCCGCGGCGCGTGGGAATGCGCAGCTACAGCACCTGAGGCTTATCAGGGCTGCGCTTTAAGATCCCCATGCGCCCGCAGACAGTGTTCAACTTAGAACTGAATATGTTCCCAAGCCGGCTACACAAATAATTGCGCTGATCTAAAAGACGATCTATTCTCCTAGTTCAAAAAGGATTCTCTCCTATACAGGACAACAGAAACCTCCTCAGACAATTACACACTGGCACACCGCACAGAAATAACAAGTGCTCTACTGGTACTGGTACACGATCACACTATACTTTTTGCATGAGCATGAATTAAACTTTTGGCTACTACACAGCTGAGGCAAAATAAAATCTACCTCTAAGGTGGAGCCTTAGCTATATTTGCAAGCTCTCAAACCTTCTTATAATTTAGATGAGTTTTTTATCATTTAGCAGTGGCTACAACACACTGTAGTCTCTGCCCGTCACACCCTATAATGCTCTGATAGGTGAGCAATTGGCAATTAAAATGAACTTATCACAGAAAAGGAGCCAGCAACTATTCTCTTTGCCTAAATAGAAACATGTTATACTAATTTTCACACCCAAAAGTCTCAGTGTGACAGTGAGATGCTAGAGACTATATGTGTGTGAGACCCAGACTGGTGACACCAGAAGAGTATGGCAGTGCTAGAGTGGATGTTGGCAGTCCAAGGGCTATGTGAAGGGAAACCCTTGTAGCTGTGTGTCATGTTGTGTGTCATTGAAGATCAAGAAGGCTCCTAGCTAAAGAACATCATCTGGTGAAGTATGTTGAGGCTGAGAAACCTTGAGTGAGGGGCTCGGTGAGGAGAGGGACTCCTAGAAGATAGTGGTGTGGTTGAGTTAGAGACTCTGGGCCTGAGAGTCGACAAGCTGTGGGCCCAGAGGACTCTCACATTACAATATGCACCACATTTCCTGGTTGCCCCAATGAGGGGGCCATGGAAAACACCACTCTTGTAGGAGGCTGAAAGGGGTGTGTCTGGAGCATTTTGACAAGCCTATTCATACTGAAGGTGGTGGCCACAACCTCCATGCATCACACTTGGTCTGAAATATTCCTCTGTCACCCTGCCCCACATTCATTCACAGGTATCCAGAATCAGAAGACTGAAGAGTTATTTTACTAGAATAAATTCTATTCAAATGTAATTTTGAGGGCAACATGCAGTGGTTAGTGCCTTGAGATGCACAGGAATTTAAGACTTCCTGAACTGAGGTGCTCTCTGAGTGGAGTATGTATAGGTTTCCTCCAACAGTGCAAAGACATACTGATAGGTTAATTGCCTTATGGAAAATTGTACATGGTGTGAGTGTGTGCGTATCCATGTCTGAGTCTTTGTTTCTGCCCTGCGATGGACTGGCGTCCTGTCCAGGATATACCCTGCCTTGTGCCCATTGCTTGCCAGGATAGGTTCTGGCTTTCCAATTACCCTGAATTGGAAGAAACTAAAAAAATAAATAAATGGATGGATGATATATAAAGGGAATCAGGGTGGCAGTCAATCTTGGGTTGATTCAGAGTAGGTTTTTGTGTTATATATTGTGGAGAGTTTTGTTTAAATAAAGTCTTACTACACAATATGTTTGTTGTTCAATGTGATTTCTATGCACTCCGGCCTTGTGTCATAGCAATACTTCAATGGCAGTTCTGTTGGGAAATAGTGAAAAATTTCAGGTGTTATTCACCGAAATCCTTTATTTCAAACTACAAATTATAATATAGTACATTATTTATCTTAGGTTGCAGCATCTGACAGTGTGGTTGTAATTTTTCTTCAGACAACCTCAGTGACATACTATGCAGCAATGGACCGGTACAGTGATGGACGAAACTTTCATCCTGGTGGTTCCACATCCCAGATATGAAAAAATGTGACAGTAGTTCACCAATGTATTGAAGACTACAACAATTTGCCTGGATTGACGTATCGAGTGTAGAGGGTCTTATTAGCAACCATACAACCCTGCCAAAAAGATTAAAGTTCCAGTTAGACTAAAAGAGGAAAAAGATAGATACCCTTCTGACTTTTCCCTTAACTTTTGGCTTAGGATGAAGTTTAAGTCTTATCTCGTGTCTTCGAAGTTCACTGTCTATAGCCCCTACTTAAAGTTCTACAAGTAGAATTTGAACTACAGTTTTAGTCTACATTGTTTTTGCTGGTTATTGTTTTTCATTTCGTATCATACTTTAAAATGGCTCTGAGGGGTTTAAAATGCTTTTAAGGGGATTCTGTTATTTTTAAAATACTTTTTTGCCACAAGAATAGCAGACATCACTGAAATGTTTTAGAAGGGATATTTCTATAATCAGAGTAACTTTTCTTTGTGTCCCCCTTTCCTGTATTAGCACAAAATAAATTACTTTATTTCTATATGTCATTGAATTACTGTTAAGCTTTCTTAACTAGGAAATTAACTAGACAAAACATTTATTAGCCACTCAGTCACTAAATAAGTTCTGTTTTGTTAAATGTTGACAAACAGTATGAAGTGCAAAGTTTGTTATTTTATAAAATAATAATGGTATATAGCTCCCCCAACTTTAGATCTTTTCCAGGAACAATATCCCCAAACTCCTTCTCCCCATACTTCTTCCACCAAACACCAAACACAGATGAGTCTGGTAGATATGATTAATATTACTTTCTTTTCACCCCAATTAACCTTTTGCTTATAAAGGGTGTGTTAATATCAGTACACTTTCTCTTCTTTTCAAGGACTGTCCCTGGTCTCTGCCTCCTCCTCGCATACCTACTCTCAACCAGCCATCCCCTGCTCACTCAGAAAAAGTAAGAAGGCTTTTCAATCTTTTCACTTATTTACCTTTTGTACTTCAAGTCATTTATCATTTCTTTTTTTCATCTTCTCATCCTTCCATTAAAAGTTAATAATTTTAGTCTGTTTTTCAACAATACATATAAAAGTTGCTGTGTTACTTAAGACTGTACTAAACGGGATTTTTTCGTCCCTATCCCTAACATATTCCTTCATTACATCCCTCTTTCACCATCTTACATTGTGAAATGCAATCAAAACCTCTCACATTTATCAAGATATCATGTCACCTAGCATATTTTCTGATGGAAAGAGAGATGATGTACTGCTCATGTACTGCTCATTCACACAAACACATGCACACATGTTTGTGTGTGACAAACACACACAAACTATTTCAATGTGACAGTGTTCTTTTGGGTATTTCTAGTATTGTTCGTTCTATTCTACTCTTTTCTAGGCAACTAAAACTAAACCTGCAATTGGCCAGTTCACAAGAGAGTCCACACCTCAGGGTGTACAGGCTAAGGTATGTGTAAAGCCATTTGCAGTTCTAATGCTTTATAATTGAGTAGAAGGTACACACGTGTACTTCAACCAAGCATACACAGATAGCTCAATTGTTTCCTCACACTTGTTCTCCAAATGTTGTCTTTCTCTATAAAATGTACAGCTCATCGCATTGAGGGATCGCTGTTCCTGTGCAACTGCAGCAAAATACACAAATGATCTGATGCATTCTTGTACACTACAGCATACATGGCATCTCACTATTTCCTGGGCTCTTCATCTAACAGCGAAATAAGGCCACCCCTGTCCCGAGAGGAAGTTGAAGCTATAATTCGTGAGTGTAGATGGCTTAGGTTATATTCTGAAATAATCTTTTAGTATATTTTGTTCAGGTAAATAATATTTTTCTGTTCTCTTTTTCTTGTTAGCTGAAGTAAAGACTGTGTTCCCTGAGAAGACCCATGCAGAAATCAGAGCCTTTATGAGACAGAAGCTATCTAATGCAGCAAATATTCTAAAACGTCAGTGTGGTGTGGGCCAGGAGAACCAGCATCATGAACATGAGCCAGTCTACCTTTAAATGCCCAGCTCCCTTTAACTTCAGCTGTGAAATTATTATTTAAATGTTCTTGTTGTTATTGTTGTATTTGTACTGTTATGATCATATTCTCTATTGATGTAAATATTAATACATTTGGACTTAACTGGTTAATGAATTTTGTGTTTCATTCCAAAACCTAAAATGTTTTAAATAGCCTGTACATTTCATGTTGGCTTTCTATTTTCTCTGCAGTCTTCTTCAGGATTAATAAAGTAGACCTATATATCTATTTATCTGTCAATCATATTTTAATAACTAGTGTTATGTACCATGGTACCCCTACAAGTACCATACGTCTGTCAAAACATCATAGGATAAAACGTACCACATACTCAAGGTACCTTAAGAGTACCATGGTATACAGTATAAGTACAACGGTACTTCTACCATGGTACATGTACTATGGTACTGTCAAAAACACCAAGGTACCGTACCATAGTACTGGTACCATAAATGTACCATGGTACAATTTCTTATGTATAGTTTTACAGATAGGAAAGCCTTCCAAACCTATTAATATGAATATGAGGGTATTACCTTTAAATTTTGATTTAAGTAAAGGAAGTTTTAATTAAGTTTATAATTAAACAGATGAAAACACATTTCTCTTTATCTCTTTTATTTCTCTTTATCGTTTCCCGTTTTCTCTTATTTCCCGTTTTGCGCGCTGCAGAGCGATCAGTTATTAAGTGTGACATCATCAAAGTGCGTCCGTTTGAGGAGCGCCTTGCCCATTGTATTAGTGGTAGATACGTCGAGGTGTCATTTTGTTACCCTGACAGTATTAAACGTATTTTAACATTTACGATAATGGAGTCTGCAGATCAAAACATGCAAAAGGCTTCTGAAGAAATAAACAATATGTCTGCATCGAAAAGAAGAGCAGAAATTAGGAGGAGAAAACTGCTGATGAATTCAGAAGACAGAATGAACAGGATCATGGGGTTTAATAAGAGCGACGTAGACGCCAACGGTGAGGCGCTTATTAAAAATACTGAAAACGGGAATGAAAAGGTTCATACAATTGTAATCAAACTATTTATCTGAAAGATTAAAGGACATTAAAGATTACCGATATCAGTAAAAAGACGGATACATTTCCTGTAAATAAATCACACTAGCTACATACCATTACAGCGCAGTTTATCACCACCCTTAACGAATACTTTTGCAAATTCTTTTGTCTTTAATTTAAACCAATCTAAATTAGATGAACACGAATTATATAGGTACTGTATATTTTAATCGTATGCGTTTTGTAACTTTTTTTCTCGTTTGACTTTGATTTAACTGCTTAATATTGGGAAGTATTGTTCTTTGAAAGGTAGATGAGATAATTCATGTGGGGTTTTATAAACTAAAAGCATTAAAGCTATTTTATGTTATTATTTTAAGAATTCGAATAAATCGAGTTTAAAGGAGTGGCACAAGGAGGACACCTGCTACGCCTATCACTGGGCTTGTATATTCTGGTCAGTTGTCTGGAATTGCTGTCACAAAGTTATTAATGCTGAAAGAAGAGGCTATCGGAGAGATTGCATATTTCATGTCTTATTTCTCTATTCAGGTTAAACATATTTTGACATATGTATGCTTGTAATGATCTGTTATAGTGTTAACATTCTGAAAAAAATATGCTGTAGTTGCAAAATAATAATGTCCATGTCTTTTATGAATGATTATGCATTTCCTAAGGCTTTTTGTTTGGCATGAAATCCCTTTTTTTTCAATTTAGGCTTTCTTGGAGATCCAAGTATTTTCATTTTTTTGTTCCAGCTGGGCCCTTAATTACTGTAGCTGATTTGAACCTATAAATGAGACAAACCTTTATTAAGGGACCAGGTTTTAATGAACACGCTTTTGTGATAAAAACAGTATATCAGGTTTCAGTCATATCAGTATGAGTCAGTATGAATCTAATGGGTTATACTCCATCTAACACACATGAACGCGTTAGTACAGGGTTTGTATTAGTATCAAATTTTATTCCCCTTTTGAAAAACTGAAACAGCATTTTAAAAATGGAACTCAGAAAATACATTAGTCTGTAACTAAGAACTGAACTGTTGTGAAAACCAGAAAAGGCATGGGTTTTACAGAAAAGACACTGAGAACTACTAAGGTAGGTGAACCAGTACTGGTTCAGCAATTAAAATGGGAGTAATTAACCCTGTAAATTGGTTTGTCAACTTCTACAATTTATCATCCCATTCTGAAAGAATCCAATTTGTGGTTTGATAATTTTATTCCTTATCTTCTACAAGATGACAGACATACGTTGGAGCCCAGAGTTCCCTTGGATCATGGCAGAGCAGAGCCGCGGTCTCTGTCCGCCCAATCCAAGAGACTTCCAGTCTTCCAGAGTGAGATGGGGGTGAGCAATCACCACGGCGACGTGCCTGAGCGTCAGGGGTCTCCCCTGCGGGAGTGCAGGGACCCCGCGGGCCGCAGCGGCGAGGGCGAAAGCGCTGGGGAGGTGCGGCAGAGATCCCGGGCGGACGTCCCCTCCGACGGCATCCCCCGCTCCCCCCGCCGCGGGCTGCAGCAGTACCTGTCGCGCTTCGATGAGGCCATGAAGCTCCGCAGCCAGCTGATCAGCGAGAAGCCGGCTCAGGAAAACGGCTCGGGCCCAGAGGAGCTAGATGCCTTCCGAGTCTTCCGCCTCATCGGGAGCGTGATGTTAGCCATCACTGTCAGGGTCTTTGTCTGCAAGTATTTGGTATGTCTGTGTCGCAGATCTTTGATTTGTTTGATTTAATCACTTTCCCTCTCCAGCTGGTAAAGATCTGGTTGCAGGAAAGCTAACAAGCTTCACTTTGGTTTGCGGCTTGATCTGTTTTTCGGCTTAACACCCTGCGGCTCACCACTGGCAACCCACTGAAGCTCAGCAGGTGTGAGCCTGGTCAGTACCTGGATGGGAGACCTGCTGGGAAAGCTAAGGTTGCTGCTGGAAGAGGTGTTCATGGGACCAGTAGGGGACGCTCACCCTGCGGTCTGTGTGGGTCCTAATGCCCCAATATAGTGACGGGGACACTATACTGTAAAAAAAGGCACTGTCTTTTGGATGAGACATAAAACTAAGGTCCTGTCTCTTTAGGGTCATTAAAAATCCCAGGGTTTTTCTCAGAAAACAGTAGTTGTGGCCTCACCACTAATAGCTGGTGTGTGGTGAGTGTACTGGTGCACTATACCTGCTGTCGCATCATCCAAGTGGTGCTGCACATTGGTGGTGGTGGAGGGGAGTCCTCATTACCTGAAAAAAGGTTTGAGTGTCCAGAAAAGCACTATATAAGTGCAAGTATTATTTATTATGTATTTAGATATTAAGAACTGTAATGTTGCCCTGATGAAGACAAAATGCCCTAACTTAATTTTATCTTCACCCTTGAGGCATTAAAAATGTCAGAGCTTGAGTGTTGACTTATTCAGGACCGAACACCAGTATAGCATGGTGGAATTCATGTCTGCTTCTCAACAAAAAATAATGTAGTTAAGCTTAATATCACACCACTGGGAGTTCCTATTTAGAGCACAGCTCTTCTGCTATCTGACTAACTCATGACTGCCCACCTTCTTCAGACAGGGCTTTGAAGTTCTGGAAATCAGCTGCAGTAGTGAGCTGTGGGTTGACTGGTTTTATGACATTATGTTGTAACAAAGGTTTCTTGTTCTCTTATTTGCAGTCAATATTTGCCCCATTTCTTACCCTCCAGCTGGCATATATGGGCTTGTACAAGTATTTTCCAAAGGTGAGTGTGTCGGTTTTGAAGAGAGGTTGTTTGTAGGTAAGATATTAGGCTCTGTATTAATTTGCTTTTGAAAACAGAATACTATATCCCTTTTTGCAAGAAAAGTGTATTGCGTTTATAATTCAGGGAAAATGTATTGTTTTATGAATTATATTCCTGCATTGTGCTTTTCAGCACACAGATCTAAAATGATGAAAGAACAGTCCTTTTTGTAGTGTTTTTCCCATTGAAACTATTTTTAACAGGCTTGAAAAGCAAAGTATATTTGATCAGCAGTAGTTTTTGTAAAAGCACACAAAACATTTAATTGGAACAAATATTTCATGATTTAATTTAAAACGTGGGCTACTAGGCAGGACAGAAATGAGAGGAAACCATATAGAAGAGCTGCTTAATAAGATATCCATATTGAACAACATCCATCCATTCATTTTCTAATGGCTTCTTCCAGTTCAGGGTTGTGGGGGAGGCAGAGCCCAGTCCCAGAAGACAGGGTGCATCCTGGATGGGACGCCAGTCCATTGCACTGACACACAGACACATGTATGCAAACACTCACACCAGATCCAAATTTTCCAAAATCCAGTTAACCTACCAGTATGTCTTCAGACTGCGGGAGGAAACCAGAGCATCCGGAGGAAACCCACACAAATATGGGGGAGATCATACAAAATTCACACAGATAGCACCCCAGGTCCAGAATTAAACCCAGGGCCCCAGTGAAACAAAGCAGCAGTGCTGACCCTGCCCGTTCTTCAACAACTTGAGTTTTAGAAATCAGCTGTTTTTCTTGGGGTGACTTTGAGGATTCTTGGTTGCAGAAAGGTGAATAGATTCTCTGTCCTCTTTACTTTCAGAGTGAGAAGAAGATGAAGACTACAGTGTTGACTGCTGCTCTGCTGCTATCAGGGATCCCCGCAGAGGTCATCAACCGTTCCATGGACACTTATAGCAAAATGGGGGACGTCTTCACAGATCTGTGTGTCTATTTCTTCACGTTCATTGTGTGTCACGAGATCCTCATCCTTCTGGGTTCTGAAATTCCCTGATGTTTGGTTTACCCCTCCCCCCCTCCGCTCTTCCATGCTTTGGAAGAAATAAAATCGAAACCCCTCCTCCCTGTTCCCCTTACATTCCCAACGCTTCCCGCCTCTTGTCCGGCCCTTGACTATCAGGGAAAGATGGACATATGGACACTGCCGGTCCTTGAAAGATCTGGTCCTGAGCGCTAACCTGGTCACGGTTAGCAAAATGTCTTCTGCACTACCATACCATTGCAGGAAATAACAGAATTTCTGCTTGTCTTACTAGTAGCTGAAGACAGCACCGCAGTCCATATGTACTGATGGTTAGGTTTTACTTGTGCTCTGGTCAGAAGCAAGGGGTCCAGTTTCTTATAGTTGAAGGATTTTTTTTTTTATTATTCTGCATTGTGTATTTTTGGATTTAGCTGACTTTTGATTTTGCTGCTAGTAACCTTTTTTTAATTTATGGAATTTATATATCCACTTAAGCTAAAAACTTTATACTCCTTCTTCTCAAGAACATGTTGGTGGAAAGTAATGCAGTAGCACAAAATGCTGTGAAGTGCACTGCAGAAACAAAGTCAAGGGTTAACAATTCTGTACCCAAATATGAAAACAGGGTATGAGCTGTGTGCTGTATTTGAATTTTTGGTGTTGGTTGTTCACTGTTACCGTATTTTAAATGTTTGTTTTTTTGTCCCTTTAAATTTGTCATTAGCCATTTCTTGGTTAAAAACATGGAACCTCTGCTAATTGTGAAACAAGGCTGTTTTAACCTTAACTTCCCAGCCACTGAGTGCTTTGCCTCATTAATCATTAAAATTGAGTTCACAGGTGATACTGATCATCAAACCTAGATCTCATTTAATTTGAATAGTTTTGTGTTTATTTTCACCACTGATTAAGTGGGACATCCCCACGCCAGCAATTTAAGTGGCTTACAATAATCACAACTGTGATATTTCAATTAACTGTGGTTAATGATAAATAAGCATCTTTTACTTGGAGGTCAATGAGTACTTTTGGTTAAATTGGCATCAAGTGAAAAGTTCATTTTATTTTAAAGAGGGAAACATCATCGTAAACACCGAAAACACATGCATTTTAACACATGCAGTATGCATCGGTGGTTTTGTACTCTGAATGTGGTAAAGTTTGGGCAAGCAAGAGTATATATGGGCTAAATTCCATGTTTGCCTGTGCCACCTGTGTGAACTGTGACCTACTCCCATGTCTTAGTGGCATGCTTAGGTTAAATTAACAATAAATTATTTCGTCCGTCATTTAAATGTTGTAACCACACATACTTGTTTTTTTATTGTATCACCTCCCTGTCTTGACAAAACAAGGTAAAAAATGTTGACTGCCATTTTGTTATTAAAATTTAAAGAGCAATTCTTTTTAGGTCTTTAATTTTAAACTATGATGTACCAGGTTATACATCATCCAGATTATCAACCCATAACAGTGTAATTGATGTATTGGTCATAATTTAAATTGTACATCTGGGTGAGATGCATTTACTGCTGAAATGTGGAAAAACTACTGAAAACTGAACAAATTAATAAAATATCAAAGACGGAACTAAAGCTTTTTTTCTTGAAGTGCTAAAAGGAGAATTTTTACAAATATATTGTTTGGAGGGACAGCTTGAATCATTGGGTGAGCACATTTCTTTACACGGCTTTCCGTTTTCCCAAAGAAAAAGCTGTTCATTTTAATTTGGGAAATACTTTTTCGATTTTAAGTCACGTATTGTAGTTTTCTTTTCACTGGAACTTGATTTCCTTAAGTATCTCATGTGGACAATAAAGGGGACATGAATGGTTTGAATATAGATGATCTGGGTGTGAATATTTAGTGAATTGCGATGGCATATTTCATTTGATACGTTATTTCTTTTATAATAAAGGTGAGTGCAGATCTTGATTCTTGTGAGACAGCAATTCAACGCTATGCATTCCCAGCTCTCAGCACACATACCCTTAACACAATCTTGTTGACGTTTAGCGTTTTTACTGTTCCTAAGGTCAGGACATATCACGGTGTGCAGCTTTATACAATATACAGTACAGTTAAAGCAGGCAAATGTTCAACAGTAGAAACTGGATTTTGATCGTCTTCTTTCGGAGGTATCAATATGAATTTGGTTCTTCCAGCCGCTGGGGGGTGCTGTTTGGATGGAGGAAGAGAGAACATTACGGAAGTACGATCTTGAATGTTGGCCATTTATTGGTTCGCAGAGAAGTTTGGGATTTACCACGAAAGCGCTGAAGAAGAGTGAGTTCAAAATTGAACAATACCTACTGATTTCCTTAGAAAAACAACGAGAAGATGGGTAGAGAGTCGAGGTATGTGTGCATTGTTCGTCTTTATTATTACCATCTGAATATTTTTACATCGAAAAGTTTAGTCACTGCAGATTCGTACGCCTTTTTATAAAGATCGCCTTAGGCCGCACATGGGAAGAAAATATGTAGCGCTTCAAAATTAAACCTGCTTTCCCTCCATCAAAGTGTTCGCGGCGTTATTAAATCAAATTATTTTATATATTCTAAAACGTTATATTGTAGATATCTGAGGTAACGTTTCAGGCTGCTAGAGAATGTGGTAGCTGAGAATTTGCTAATCGGATTAGAGTTGTGCTAATGAATACGTACAATATTTATGAGGTTATTGCTTGAACTTCAAACCGAACGATACAATTAGAGTGAAAGCCCCAGCACAACATTCTAAAATCAAAATCACGGTTCTCCTTTATATTGTATTGTTTTCGTAGTCCAAAGGTAGATGAGCTTTGTTGTCATGTTATCTTTGTAAGTAGACATTCAGCTAGATCTGAATTTAACCGCTGAGCATTTAATTTAATTGCTTGCATTTATTTAGCTCTTTTCTGGACACTCCACTCAAAGCGCTTTACAGGGAATGAGAATTTATATTAAATCAACCCAAAGACAGAAAAATAAATGGTGTTGGAATTTTACTTCATTGTGCATACGTGCACGTATCTGTGGAAACTTGAAGTTATTGTAGTGGAAGGAATACGAGATAAATGGTGACTTGCCACTTTCTTCAGCTAGACACTGTGAATGCATTAAAAATTACGTTTTGGCTATTAAGATTGTACAATTATTTTTATTAGAAACCGTAACATTTGTTATCTTTTTAATGCCTCTGGGTATACAGTGCATTAGTTAGATTTCTTTTGGTTTCAGCTTTGGTCACCAAACTACAACAGATATTGTCACTCTTGGTGGGAGCAATCACACTTATTCCTGTTCTTAAGGAGTTGTACCTGAAAGGGTCAAGATATTTTATTTTATTAGCTTTGATCAGCGTAGAGTATGCGGGGTACTTGATTTAGGTGTTCAAAATCATGAAAAGGTGTTGATTATATCAAATTAATTCATGATCCTGGAACAATGTAAGAAATTAAGTTCTTTTTTTAAAATTGAAAATTCATATGATATTTCCTTATTGCTTGCTATGCTGCAATGATTTATGCCTCCTCTTGGCCAGGCCATCATTGAGATTGAGAAATTCTCAGCTGGGTGTTTGGTTATATAAAGGTTTAATAATAATACTGTCTGGCTTGATGGTGCAGTGGTCAGCATTACTGTCTCATAGTGCTGTGACCCTGGGTTCAATTCTGGACTTGGCCTGCTATCTGTGTGGAGTTTAAGTGTTCTCCCTGTATTTGTGTGGGTTTCCTCCAATAGTCCACAAACATAACTGGTAGATAGGGGCTTCTGGGAAATTCAACCCTGGTCTGAGTGTGTGCCTTGTGATGGACTGGCGTCCAATTCAGGGTGTATCCTGCCTTGTGCCCGTTGCTTGCTGGGATACCCTTTGGCTCCCCTGCAACCCTGATTTGGAAGAAGTGCTTAGGAAAGAGAATGATGGATTTTATATATATATATTATATTATATATGTATTAATATAAAGATATAATACTTCAGGTGGGGAGCTGCGTCAGCATGCGTAGGCTGCAAAGGAACAAGTAATAGATTTATTCCATGCTGAAAAAAAGAAGAAAGAGAACACAATGGTTCAGCCATGGAGCCTTCTTCACCTGAAGAAGGCTCCACGGCCAAACCATTGTGTTCTTTCTTCTTTTTTTCAGCATGGAATAAAACTATTACTTGTTCCTTAGATATAATACTGCCACCTGGAGATAGTTATGAGGGAAACCGAGGGGGATGTGATGAAGCAGGTCAGTCAATGCGTGTGAAACGTCTTTCCCAGGCACTACCGCAAGCACTCAGCTTCGAGGGGGCGGTCCGGCAGCCGCTCCAGGAGCCGGTCTCCGGAGAAGAGGTCGAAGCGAGAGGAAAGGGCTCGCTCCCGCAGCCGGGACCGGGAACGCAGGCGAGAGCGCTCCCGCAGCCGTGATCGGCGCCGCTCCCGATCCCGGGACAGGAAGCGTCCGAGGTGGGTGACTGCACTGGGACAAGCAGGGCCTTCAGGCCACGGTCTCCCTGTCTGAAATGCCAAAACATTTCCGAGCTCTCAAAGGCTTAGGTTTATTATTCTCTGTAGTCGGTGACACAATATTCTTAAGACTCTTATGATACTGTTAAATTATGATTCTTTCAGTCCTTCTTTCACCTTTCTTTTGAATTTGGAGTGCGAGTTAGTAAGCTGTAAGAAGCTTGTCCTAAAATGATGTTAGTGAATGACAAGACAGTTCCAGTCTGTAGAGAGAAAAGTATCGTGTTGGGCGGCTCTGACGTGTCCCCCCCCTCTTTCGGGGGGCAGCGAGGCTCTCTGACAGTCGCGCTCTCCTTCTCTGTGTGTTGCAGGCGCTCCAGGAGTCGGGAAAGGCGGCGATCCCGCAGCCGAGACAGGAGGAGGTCTTGTAGCAGGACACGGGGCCGGAGGTCACGTTCCTCAAGCCCCAGCAAGAGCAGGAAGACTGACGAAGGGTAGGACTCGAGGATCAGATTGTTCTTTTTCAAACCAGCGCCTATTATGAAAAATGGCATAGGTCTTTTTAAATAAAGTTTCATTCAAAAACCATAAATATCGGAAAGAATGCAGTAAAGGTACTGCACACTAAGCACACGTTAAGAAAATAGGACGTCTTCCAGTTATTTCTAGCTTCAGTACCAAGCCCAGCATTGAAAGACTGTCTGTTTTTCTTGCAGGTCAAAGAGTAAGGAGAAGTCTGATAGCACAGAGCCGTCTGTGGAGAAAAAGAAAATAAAAGAAGAAAAAGAGGAAGAAAAGGTAGAAGACGTAAGTTAGGTGTTAGTTGTTTAAGTCTTATTTCTCTTTTAATCTTGTTAAAGCACTGTGCTTATTTTGTGATGTACAGCTTTGTTTGGAATCAAATGCCTGACACTTCTTTTCTCTCTCCACAGCAAGACTTTGACCAGAACAAACTGGAAGAAGAAATGAGGAAAAGGAAGGAAAGAGTGGAAAAGTGGAGGGAAGAGCAGAGGAAGAAAGCGATGGAAAACATTGGAGAACTGAAGAAGGAGCTGGAGGAGATGAAACAAGGAAAGAAGTGGAGTCTGGAGGATGATGACGGTGAGTAATTTGCAGATGGAGTCTCAGGTTTTAAAATTACAAACTGCAGGCTATTTACAGCAATTGTAATTCACCCTTAACCCTAAACTTAAATCTAGCCTTAAACCTAACCCCTAACTCTGTTGCTAGCTCCAGCCCAATCTGATTTGTATTCCTCTTGCAGATGATGATGAGGAGGCTGCAGCAGCTGCTGAGCCTGAGGAAGAGGCCATGGAGGAGGTTGATGAGGAGCAGGATCCTCTGGATGCCTACATGGAGGAGGTGAAGGAGGAAGTGAAGAAGTTCAACATGGGCAGTGTCAAAGGAGGAAACGACAAGGTAGGGGCCGGACTGGGCCTGCGTGTTAAAGTTTGTCTAGCTCTCAGCCAGCTGGGTACCTCTCTTTCTCTGTTCCTCTCTTTCTTTCTACTTCAGAAGCTCCCAGCGATGCTCTAGATGACTAATGTAATGTGAATTTAAATCCTCTGAGTTGTCTGTACGACTCTTTGAACATTCCTCATCCCTGTGTTTGGCGGACAGCCTTGAGTGTTGTAGTCAATGGCAGTTGTGTTTTTCTTCCTTTATACCAACTTGTTTTTCCCTTCATTTCAACAGAAAGGAGGAACGACTGTAACCAAAGTTGTTACTGTAGTCACAACAAAGAAAGCCTCTTCTGATGCCAACAAGAAGAAAGGGGAATTAATGGAGAATGACCAGGATGCTATGGAGGTAAGGTACTGTGAGTGATGACCACGAAGGTCTGAATATTTTGTTCTTGTTTAATGAGGATTTTCTTTTTATTATACAGTACTTGTGTCCTGATGATTAAATTACCCATGCCTGAGGAATGTTTAAGGCATGAGAAAATTAAATGAATCATTTTCATTATGAGGGCAGTACAGTGGTGCAATGGTTAGCATTGCTGCCTCGCATTGGTGGAGCCCTGCGTTCAATTCCTAACCTGGGCTGCTATCTGCCTGGAGTTTGTATGTTTCTCCCCGTGTTCACCTGGGTTTCCTCCCACAGTCCGAAAACATACTGGCAGGTTAATTGGCTTCTGGAAAAATAGACCGTAGGTGTCGGTGTGTGTGTGTCTGAGTGCGCCCTACAGCGCACAGGGTGTACCATGCCTTGTGCCTGTTGCTTTGGCTTTCCCACAAAGAAACAGTTAATAAGATTAGCCCTATACAATTTCTTGCATTAGGAATTTGTCTTTTCGCGTAGTCCAGCTTGCTCTCCATGAGATACACAGACAGGGAGAGAAGCATGGAGTCAGAGCGCAGGGTCAGCCATTGTACAGCGTCCTTGGAGTAGCTGGGGTTAAGGGCCTTGCTCAGGGGCCCAATGGAGTAGGACTCCTCTGCCGGCCATGAGTTTTGAACTGGCAACCTTCCGGCCACAGGCGCAGATCCTTAGCCACAGTGCCACCGCTTTGCATGGATAAATGGATTTTCATGATGATCTGTGTGCGACTAGGTTAAAGTGTAGAAACTTAAACAGAACAGTGTGACACATTACTGTTGTCTTACACGCATTTTTATCAGTGTTCTGCTTTGTATTGCATGGAAATTCTAGAATAATAACATGTATATAACATTTAATTCTCAGTATTCATCAGAGGAGGAAGAGGTGGATCTTCAGACAGCACTGACTGGCTATCAGACCAAGCAGCGGAAGCTCCTGGAGCCAGTGGACCATCAGAAGATTGAGTATGAGCCCTACCGCAAAAACTTCTATGTGGAGGTACCAGAACTGGCTAAAATGTCACAAGAAGGTAAATCATGGATAGCTGTCCTAAAGTAAGAGATAGAGATAAGAGCATACCTTAATGAAAAAGTATTTGTATATATTATTCTCAATTTGATAATTTGTGATCTTTTTCCAGAGGTGAATGTGTATAGGCTGGAGCTGGAAGGAATCACTGTGAAGGGGAAAGGCTGTCCCAAACCCATCAAGACTTGGGTGCAGTGTGGCATTTCAATGAAGATTTTAAGTGCACTAAAGAAGTAAGTAATCTGACCTGCGTAAGTATTTGGAATGTTTCAAACGCCACCCTCGAGAAGAAAATGTTATTCAGCAGCAAAAGTTCTTCTGAATATTGAATGGCTTATTTTGGGGAAGGGGGGCATTTAAAAAGATTCCTGGGGATCACAGTAATGATAGTATCACATCACTGTCCTCCTTAATTGTTTTTTCCAGGCTTTCAACTAAAAAAACATACTAGGATATGGAATAAACTGCCACTGGCCGTGTCTCGTTTCTGTGGAATGTGCATGTAACTGTGTTCTCCTTCCTTTCTCGAGGCATAACTATGAAAAGCCTACACCAATTCAGACCCAGGCCATTCCTGCCATCATGTCCGGGCGGGATCTGATTGGCATCGCCAAGACCGGCAGCGGTAAGACCATCGCCTTTCTGTTGCCGATGTACCGGCACATCCTGGATCAGAGACCCCTGGAAGAAGCGGAAGGTCCAATAGGTGAGGATGTGCATTCATTTCCAATACTTGGCGGGACCTCTAGCTCTGTCTTGAATACTGTAATCTCAGATGTTTTATGAAGACATGTAATGTTGGAAACAATAGAGGATTTCCTTATGTCTGTTTATGAATAAGTAGTGAAATTAACATCACACAGATGATAGACGCTAATATCTTGCCAATTCTGTTGAAACTGTGAAGGTTATTATTTTAATAATGCCTGTTCTTAATCGTAAATCTTTCGGGTGTTGTCTGTCATTCATTTCCCAGCCGTTATCATGACTCCTACCAGAGAACTGGCCCTTCAGATCACAAAGGAGTGCAAGAAGTTTTCCAAGCCTCTGGGTCTAAGGGTAGTCTGTGTGTATGGAGGAACTGGAATAAGTGAGCAGGTAAAAGATTTTACCTTAAATCATTTAACTTCAAAACCAGTACTTGCTTTAATTTGAATACCCTGTGTATAAACATTGTTTAGCCTGTTAAAAGAGTAATCTTAATTATCTTTAAGAAAATGAACGAAAAATTGTTTCCCCTGTATTAAGGTATAAAAATCTTGAAATTGTTTTTCTACCAAAATAATAAATTAAACATAATTCATTCTCGGTATTAGTCATTTAAAGTAATGTACATTTTATCTAGGTTATAGAATTTCAACAGTGTATTAGTCTGATGTCTAGATTAAATGCTGAGCATGCAATATTATTATAATAGTTATCACATTTCCTCTCATATGTTCGCTGTGTGTGTATAGTTGATAATTCTGATCAGCAATAGATGCTGGAGAATTATTTCTTTTTAGGCTTATATTGCTGCAAGGAACAAGAAAGCGCGTTCTAATATTGCAGGAGTATTTGTGTATGTGAGTCTGTGATCATTACTTTTTCTGATTCCTCTGATGACAGATTGCTGAGCTTAAGAGAGGAGCAGAAATCATTGTCTGCACCCCAGGAAGAATGATTGACATGTTAGGTGCCAACAGTGGTGAGTAATGTCCCCTCTATACCTTTATGTATACACTGTGATGCAACAATGCCATGACTCTGTTCTTTTTACTGTAGCTGCAGTATCTATGTAATTGCTATCATAAATGTCATTTTTTCAGTAGGTTCTGTTATCTGCGCATGATGTTTAAACACCATACTTCTTGAATGATGCAGTATCCCCTTTGTAAAAACTGATCACTTTGCTAATGGCAGAGATTAAAGGGGTCTTGGCTAGTCTTACCAAGGACCAACAAGAATTACTTTTACTAGCTAAGGATGATAGAGATAGAGCAAAACTACTGCTGGATAACTAACTGCAGTCAAAGTGTAGTCTGTAATATGTGCTGTAACATGATGGAATAGCAGGGTTTACCTGGGAATAACCAAGATGACGACAAATTTGTTTTGCTTATGAAGCTACTGTGCCTTAAGCAATTATGCTTATACATGACAAACAATAAAACCAGTTTTCTTTGAAAATGATTTCAATTGATAGATACTGCAGCTTTATGAAAAAATATATCTTATGCTGTGCATGCATTGTTACTGTATGTGAATATATATATATATTGGTGAGAGTGAGTTAAGTACAATACTTCTTACTAAACTGTTGACATTATTTGACTGCCTTGGGAAACATGTCCTCAAGATATTTGAAGTGTTCCTCAAGACTAAACCAGCAAAAGGTAGGTGGAGAGACAGCTGCATTGCCTCATGTTCATGGCTTTGCCTGGAGAAGTAAGTTATCTTTAATTTAGTATTTTTCTCGTATTGCTTCATAATATTGTAGTTGGAATATTTGCACAGGAATTGTTTTTTTTTCACATTTTTAATAACCTGTATAGCCACACACAAAGTACTCCAGTAAATGACAGATTAACTTGTTGTAAGTTTTCCTGTAACATTTCTTTCACTGAGCTCTGAGTCTAGCCCTGATTTTTTTTTTCTGGTTGAGGATGAAGCTGGGAATTTCCCAGAGCTCACGGGCCCAGGGGTTAAAGAAGGTTAAAGAGCCGTGTAAATAACATTAGCTAAAAAGACTGAAAATCCAGTGTCCCCTTGCTTTATGTGTAGCTGTTAGTAAAGAGAGTCTTTTCTTCCACACATGCGGGGTAATCTCTAATATGTTCTTTTGTAGGTGAATGCTGTCAGATTATGCCTGATGTGGCTCCGTCTCAGTCTTTATTGTATGATGTGGCTGTTTTCTGACTTTTACAGGTTCTTCGTGCCCCTGAGCTGGTACGCAAGAAAAGAAAATCAATTTGGGCACTAAAGTTCCAGTTGTGTAAAAATTATACATATCCTGAGGCTGTAATTGCTTTGTATAGATTTTCCACGTAGAAGTGTACTGTTCATGTTCGGATGTTTTATAGAGCTGGATTTGAAGTGATTGATTATTTTCATCCATTTCTTCATTTTGGATTTCTATAGGTAGAGTCACAAACCTCCGGAGAGTAACGTACGTTGTTGTTGATGAAGCAGACAGAATGTTTGATATGGGTTTTGAGCCACAGGTAAGTTACTTCATTTTCCTATTGTTTGATTTCTTTGCACTGTAAAACAATTTGAACAAGCACTGGTAAAAGACATGGTTGGACTATTCAATATTTTTTTCAGTTCTCTTAAGCACAGTTAAGATTGAATTAGATAAGTTGAACGTTATAACCATAGGGCATCAACACTGCTCTGTTCCCTTGAGAATTTCAAAATGGCTTTTGGTAATTTCTTCACAATCAGCAATTGCCTTGTAATTAAGAACGAGCTTACTATTGTCACATGGGTTGCTTCTTGTCAAGACCGTAAACAATGTTATGCTTTAAGAATATAAGACGCTTACAAATGCAAGTCAGTTGTTCAGTGTCGACATTTCCTTAAAACAAGGAGGTGTGTAGATCCTGTTGGAGGAAGTGTTTCCCTTTTCATTCATATGATACATACCTTCTAGGAATTTTGAATAGCTGCATCAAGTTTCCCTGTAATCTGCTCTGTTCGATACCAATGAGCTGCCTTTAGCCTGTCTTTCGCAATCCCTTTCAACCTGGTATTATTCCAGTTGCCATTTTTTGAACTCTTTATAGAGCAGGAATAATTTAGTGTGGTAACCAGAATTGTAGACTTGGAGTCCACCTAAGCTATGAAGTCTCTTGTGTACGTTGCTTCCTCTAGTTCATTACCTACCTTCTGATATTTATGGAGTACATTTTTGTTACCTTGCTGGATTGCTTCTTTTCTTGTCTGCATAATATTATCTGGCTGCTATTTAATGGCTCTTCTAGGTGATGCGTATAGTGGACAACATCAGGCCTGACCGTCAGACTGTCATGTTCTCTGCCACCTTCCCCAGAGCGATGGAGGCCTTGGCCCGCAGGATCCTGTCAAAGCCTGTTGAAGTACAAGTGGGAGGCAGGAGCGTTGTGTGCTCTGATGTTGAGCAACATGTGGTAAGCCCCTGTGTTCTTAATGGAATTTGGTTGCAGACAGCCAGAGCTTGACAGTTAATCTGAGTGCTTTTACTGTGAAAAGGAAGTTGGTTTGCTTCCATTAATGGCAGGGTAGCAGAAAGGGTTTTAGCATTGTTTGTTGCCTTAAAGATTTGCTCAAATGGCTTACATGGGTTTAGAATCCATTTTATTTTCCTGGTGACTGCTACCCTGAAAGGACTCATAAAGAAATGATGTCTTCAGCCGGTGTCTGAAGAAATAGTGTGCTTCGAGGAAATTAATGGCCACTCATGGTACTGTAGTCACAGTGTGCCCTAATTTGATCTGATTCCTTCTCCACCTATTTCTTTGAATGTTTTAATTTTTCACAAACTAATTCATCCGTCTGTGTTCAGATTGTTATAGAAGAAGAGAACAAGTTTCTGAAGCTTCTTGAAATTCTGGGACATTACCAGGAAAAGGGCTCAGTCATAATTTTTGTGGACAAACAAGAACATGCAGATGGGCTGTTGAAAGATCTCATGAAGGCCTCCTACCCCTGCATGTCCCTCCATGGAGGTAATGGATTAAAAGTCAGCAGCTTTTATCTGTTAATGAAGGCACTCTATTACATATTAATAACGTTTCAGGCATTTTATCAACTTTCTTTAATCTTTAACAGGATCAGTATTAATATATTCTACAGTCTCCACGAATATAGTACTGCTTTAGATATTTCACATTGTTTATAGAACTAAACCATTTCCATCATATACATTTGGCTCAAAGTAGTTTTTGAGAGCTTGTAAGAAACATAGTGATATACTTGGTATAAAAATGTGTGACTGTTACTGAAGTTGTAAATAGTTACCTATGTACAGAAGCACTAATTATGACCTTTCTTGTCTAGGCATTGACCAGTATGACAGAGACAGCATTATTAATGATTTCAAGAATGGGGCATGCAGGCTGCTTGTAGCAACATCAGTAGCTGCCAGAGGACTCGATGTCAAGCATCTGATTTTGGTGGTCAATTATAACTGCCCCAACCACTATGAGGATTATGTACACAGAGCTGGAAGAACTGGGAGAGCTGGGAATAAAGTAAGTGTGGATTTTTTGGTCTTGGGGATGCATTGTAACACATCAGTAATCAGTTAAAGTGCTCTTTGAAGTTTGTTGTACATTCATAAGTGAATGACCTCTTTCTTTTTCAGCAGAAATTCTCTATTAGTTAAAGAGGTTTAAAGAACTATTGTGCATCTTCAGATTTACTCCCTTCAATTTGTCATTTGCAAATGTTTACTTATTGAGTTGCTCTTGTTTAATTCCAGGGATTTGCCTACACTTTTATCACTGAGGACCAGGTTCGATATGCAGGTGATATTATAAAGGCTCTTGAGCTCTCAGGAACTACTGTACCACCAGAACTGGAACAGCTGTGGGCCAGCTTCAAAGAACAACAAAAAGCTGTAAGAATTACAATTTTTCAACACTTTAGCAGGTTTTGCGTATCATAAACAAGCACAAACTAACCACTTCATATTGTTCGCAACTGAACTTCTGCTCTTTATTTAATAATGGAATACAGTGCAGATTTGTGCAGGTTAGTGCCCCACTAAAAGTGGCATTACGTCAGATTCTCTAGGTTTACAGGCTGATCAAGAACAGACCTGTTAAAACCGTTCCAAAAAAAATAATAAAAGATTAATACCTCAGATTGATCCTTTTTTTTTTAAGTCAGTCTGTTTTGCACTTCAATTTTCCAGGAGGGCAAAAGCATCAAAAAGAGCAGCGGGTTCTCTGGGAAGGGTTTCAAGTTTGACGAGACTGAGCACGCGCTGGCCAACGAGAGGAAAAAGCTGCAGAAAGCTGCTCTGGGCCTGCAGGACTCTGATGACGAGGACACTGCTCTGGATGTGAGTAAATCATGCAGCTGTCTATGAAAGGGTTTCTAAATGTTACAGCATTGGCTGAGGCATACCACATTGCAGATCTTAGTCCTGTGTAATATTTCAAAAAATGTTACCATCAATACAATTGTGTTTGACTTGTTACCTTTCTTAAAATTGTTAAAAACTTATCGAATTCCTCAAATAATCTTAAGAGTCCCCTTTTAACATCCAAGGCTGAGGTCTTTTAACTTCTGCGTTAAAAAGTGTAACCTGTTACTGTCTTGGAAGTGAGAAAAGACCCAGTGTGTTCGATTGTTTTCCTTACAGATTGATGAACAGATCGAGAGCATGTTCAATTCCAAGAAGCGGGTGAAGGACCTGTCGGCGCCTGGTGGAGGGGGTGGGGGCGGAGGAGGAGGGTCTTCAGGTGGTGCCAATGCTCCAGGAGGACTGGCCAGTCCTGCAGTGCCCTCTGCTGGTAACATTGAGAAACTGGAGATTGCTAAGCGTCTGGCTCTCAAGATCAATGCACAGAAGAACCTTGGAGCAGAAGCACAAGTTAGTTGTTTTTTTCATGTAGTTGGGTTTTAATGTTTTTTGGGTGTTGGGCAATATGAGACTGGTGAAATTTGTTTTTTTGTCTCTTGCATTTTCCTGATGTGCATTTTTAAAAATTTTCTATATCATTGTAGCTAATATTTGATGTTTTTTGCTTGGCAGTACCTGGTGATTTAGATTCATGACTGTAAATGGAATAATATAAGTCATAGACAACCTATTCGTGCATATTAAGAGTATTCACCATCAGGTGGAGTACTGTAGATGAGACTAGTCAGACTAGTGAAATAAAAAGTGAAGAAAGTATCTAATCTGTAAACGTTTAATGACAGGATGTGATGCAGCAAGCCACCAACGCAATTCTGAGAGGAGGCACTATGGTGGCTCCATCTGTCTCTGCGAAGACCATAGCAGAGCAGCTGGCTGAGAAGATCAATGCCAAGCTCAACTACATTCCAGTGGAGAAACAAGAGGAGGAGAAGCAAGATACTGCGCAGTCTGAAACAATCAAGAGATATGAAGAGGAGCTGGAGATAAATGACTTCCCACAGGCAAGTATTTATTGCTACCTTTCTGTTCTCCAGTTGTTGATTCCACTGAAGTGCTTTAGCTAAGCCTTAGCTAGCCAATACGTTCATGTTGTCATTTTAATCATGTGTAGTGTAAGTTGTGTTTTCCAAGTGTATATCGCCAAAGGACAAAGCTGACACCACGTTTGGTGAGTCACTTCTGCTTTGGTCTGTTGTGACAGGAGAATTCCTTTGAATTGAGATCAGGCTGCCGTGATCATCATTTCCATGGTTAAGCTGGGAGGGCAGTAGGATGGAGGGTTTCAATGTGTTTTCTGGTGTCTCTGTAGACTGCCAGGTGGAAGGTTACCTCCAAGGAGGCTCTCCAGAGGATCAGTGAGTACTCTGAAGCTGCCATCACCATCAGAGGAACCTACTTCCCTCCAGGCAAGGAACCCAAAGAGGGAGAACGCAAAATCTACTTGGCCATTGAGAGTAAGTCAATCATAAAGGTTGGTTTGAGATTCAACAATCTTGGTAAGAAAAGAATTAGCGGCAAAATCACATCTCTAACTTTAAGGGTAGGAATGTGTGTCTAAATATGATCTAAATGGTGTTTTTAGGGATGCTTTTTATTCATTGGCATATATACACCATTTCAAATGGGCAGAATCCATCTTTATATTTGTTTTTCTTTTCTTTATTAGGTGCCAATGAGTTGGCAGTACAGAAAGCAAAAGCTGAAATCACCAGACTTATTAAGGAAGAGCTCATCAGACTAGTAAGTACTTTTTTTCTTTGTTCATTGATTTTTTTGTAAAATGATTTCAGTTATGCTAGAACACCACTGAATAGTGACAGTGAACAGTTGTACTTTTAGTTATACATGTGTGCAATACTCATTTTCCACTTCTGTGCAAGAAAGGTTGCCAAAAATGTTCTAGGAATGTAGATTACAATACCCACATTTTTCAGGTCATGCATTCAAACCTGGCCAGGAAATCCGTAACCAAGATCATTGCTTTCCTTCACATAACTATATACATTAGAAATGTCACTTGTTTTGCATATTGCACATATATATGGAGTTGATATGTGAAGATCATGCTGATAAGCGCTGTTGGGTAAAAGCTAAGCACTGTAAACAACAGAGCAGTTGATGATGAGTAAGTCAAAGTGTGATGGCCTTGGACAGGACTGTCAAGTTGCTGTAGAACTTTGCATGGTGCTTCATTGATCATGTCTTGAGACCTCGTTTGGTACCTTTGCTCCGGGCTCATCCTGATAAGGCAACATTTCAACAGGACAGTGCACATCCTCATGTTGCTTATGTCACAATGGTCTTGTGAGAATGTGATAGTCATACCATCAGGGCCCCACTCACCAGACATGAGCCCTGTTGAACATTTGCGGGAGGAGCCTGGATGACGTTTGGAGATTTATAACTCAAAGATCAGGCATTTCCACAAGATGGCATCTGCAAGCTTTGTTGCATAACATGAGTAACAGATGTATAGTTTGTAATTCTTCCAATAGTGGCCATACATGCTGCTAGGCTGTGATTTTCAAATGTTAATGAACTAAATGAATTCACTTAATATGTCTGTTCACTAATATGTTATTGCATCTGCTATGAAAAATATGATTTTTTGGATTAATTTGTTGCTGTTTTAATAGGTTTCTGTTGAAGCTCAATGTATTTGAACACTGAATGGGAAGCTTTAAAAATGCAGCTTGAGACTGTTCTTTAGAAAATGCTTGTCTAAATTCTTTAAACAAACTGGTTCATGATTTTAGAAGCACTCCCTTTCTATAATGTTCTTGACATTGTATTGATTTTTTTTTTACTTAATGTTTAAACTTTTTACTTTTTGTTTTTAGCAAAACTCCTACCAGCCAACCAGCAAGGGAAGATACAAGGTTTTGTAGAAGAGTGAGACTCCAACTGGAAGACATCAGCAGCAAACTGTGCCATTTTGTCTTCAAGTGGATTCACTTGCAGTGTCTTTTTTAGATGTTTATCATTTCATCAGATAGTTAATTATTTCAGTGGGAGTCTCCTTGTGTCAAGCAGGCCTTTTCTGATAATTATTATAGGTTTTATTTACTTTGGGTTTTATAGATTGTCACTTAAGTCTTGTTACCTGATGAACATTTTCTCATGAAAAGTGGAAGTTTGTTTTTTTTTTGCCTTCTAAAGGGGTCTAAAAGGTCTTTCTGAAGAATAATCATCTTGTTGTAACATTGCCTACTTAGTGAAAATTCTTCAAACATTAGGGTTTACAATGGATTAATTGCAGTATCATTTTTCTGTATCCTGTTAAAAAATCGATCCCAAAAGATCAATCTGTTAAAGCAGATGATGAAATTATGGTCAATTCTTGCCCCTTTTTTAGCCTGTATACTGAGGTTTGTATTTAGTGTCCTCAGAAATGTATATTCACATTGGCTCTTATTCTTACCCGGTATGGTTTTCAATTTGTATAGAATTTTATCTGAGGTGATCTGGTTTCCTTTTGAGCATCACCTTTGTCTCATACCCTAGACAAAATCTAGGCAGCTGAGCTTATCATTGTTTTAGTGCAGTGCTGTAAAGATTTTTTAATATGCAAATATTTTTTTTTTCATTTTTGAAGGAAATCTGTTGACTGTAGAAAATTAGTTCAAGACCATATTACAGATCCAATTAATTTGGTATGTTTTTTTCATTTGTTTTCCACAATAAAACTGTCAGAAGTTCTCGTTTGACATTTTTTCATTATCTAAAACTGTTAAAGGTGTGATTGATTTATTTTCATTTTTATTTGACTTATTAAAATTGATTGAGGTCCTAATCTCCCCTGGGTACCATCCATCTTAAGCAGTGTGCTGCCTTTGTTGTGCATTTGCATAGATAACTCTGGGAGATCCATTAAGTGTTTATCTTTAAACAATACTTTAAACATTAATGAAAATATACCACGTGTGTTTAATAAATTCAAGATATGTATCTCTTTTCTTCCTTTAGAGCTTTACATATAGGAGGGTGTCCTACTGAAGTCTACCAATCCACCATCTGAGTGATGTGTGGCAACCATTATGTTCTTGTATCTTGTAGCAGATAAAGTAGAGAAAATATTTTAACGGGTGAATTAAGGGGACCTTTGTAGATAATCGAGTGTGCAAACCCACTATGGTTAGCAGTGCTATTTTCAATAAATGGGGTGTTTCATGACCAGGTGGTATCTCGGTTTAATGTTTCTTCTGAAGGATAGTAGCATCTACTACACAGTGTGCCAGAGAAAAGTGTGCCACCTACTGGTCAACTATCTGCATTTACAGAAGCAGCCTGCTGTTCAAAGTATTGACTAGGCTTGCTTTGCTTCTGAGATCTGATGAGATCAGGCTATAAGGTGGAAACACTTTTAGAATTTAAACTGTAATTCCTTTATTCAATATACTGTATAAATGTCCTGCGACACTAGCTTGGTGTGTGATTTTGTTGGTTCAGTAAATCTAAATGAAGTATCGCTGGATTATAATTCACATTGGGGAATTTGTTGGTTCATTGAGTGTTTCAAAACTCTATCCTTAGTGCTGTGTGTTACAAAGTAGTTATTCTCTGGAGAAAGACATCGTAAACAAAAATTATCCTGAAACTTGGTTCACACCTCCCCCCTCTCTCAATGACAGACTTGCTTTCGTGTAATCTTCTCTATTCACATGCAGGTTTTGACTTCACACCTCTCTCCACTTCGCGCCACCTGAGTGCCCACTCTGCCTCTCCCCTGCTCCTGCCTCCTCCACTCTCCCTGCTTTTGTTCTCCTAACTATTTAATCTTTGCCATCTGCCCTGTCTTTCTCACACTTGAAGAAGGCTCCACAGCCGAGTCTTTCTTCTCTTTTCAGCATGGAGTAAACCTTTTACTTGTTCCTTTGCAGCCTATGTATGCTGACGCAGCTACCCACTTCAACGTTGTCATTCTCTGCCTAATCTAATTTAATTTTCTGAAATTGGGGTGTACAAATGTTTGAATAAAACTTGTACCTACTGTAGATATAAAATTAATTTCTGCCTATAAATACTTAATCTCTGCCCAAATATTCAACCTTTTCGGTGTAAACAATCAATGGAATTCAAGGCCCATGACTGTCGGTTTCTTTTCACACATCAAAGCAATCATGGACTTGAGATATTTTTCTAGAACTGACATCAACCAACTAACCAAACAAGTTTGTACTAACTTGTTTTAACAATCGAGAGATTTTCTGTAAGAAGTCCATTGCACCAGTACATGTACCAGTTACATATGGCAATAAAGTTCAAGTTCAACGTTAGAATATAAACCAAGTTGAAGTTTCATCTTCTAGATTTGTAGGATGATGCTCCTTCGAAACCTTGCATTTTTAAAATTCATTTTACAATCGTTGAAAGATTAGTCAGGCGCGGTAAAATTAATTTCCACTTAATCCTTCTGCTAAATATTGTTCCTAGACAGTTAATAAGGATGTAGCCTATTGCGGTTTTCTTACTCTAAATATTGTAATATCATCAAATGGGAAATGTAATAGAGGCAGGGAAACCGAAACTGAAAAGGGAACAACAATGACTTTTGTATAAAAGCTCTTAGCAGAGCAACCGAGTTGTCGGTCACTTCGTCCACTTCTTGGATGATCTTATTCTTATACAGTGCGGTATATTCATGACGTAACCAAGGACGTACTCGAAAGGGAAAAAGGGAACCTTTGAATATTTAAAGTTAGAAATCCACCATTCGGTTTCTTTTTATTTCATATTAACAGTTTAGTTGCTGCAGTAAAGGAGCAGTACCGACCTGATTAAAATTTCAGTGTTTATGTGCTCTGGTGTTGCAGCAATTCCCAGGTTGAGCAGTGCGCCTGCGCAGTATTCCCTCCTGCTTTATTAATTTTTAATGGAAATGGCTGCCTTTCTCATCTAAACCTCTCTGCAACAGGAAAAAAATAAAACATAAAATAACCCACATTCAGACTTTCTGGTGTTCTGAAGAGACGAACAAAACGCGGCTGACTCGATCGCCTGTGATTAGCCGAGAAAGATGAATCTGCTTTAGGATTTAAAGGATGGAAGATCTATCGTTTTTGTTTTTAACCCTTTGCATTCCATGATCTGCAGACAATCGAGGTACAGTAAAACGTTTTTTGAACGACGTGTTGTAATTAGGCCTTGTTTTACCTATATTATTATCCTCAGAGTATGATTTATTTAGCAAAAAATCACGGTATTAGTAAGAAATGCACATTTTGGTTGAATTAATCGTGAAACAAAGAAACCTTTTGTCCAGTTATAGTATACCCCCTTGTTGCATCAAATTAATAATTTATTATTATATGTCATAATATTGTTTTAAATTATAAATAAAACACTGCGATATGATAACAAAAAAGGGTTAAACAGTGGGCCTAATATAGAATGTAGTGTTACATCTGACGACCAAAGATTAGGCTACGGTAGTGATTCTCCCATTATATGTACAGTTACTGTGCAACGGTGTTGCTTTTAATATATTTACAGTATGTGCATTGGCATGCGAATGGAAGAGAAACGTAATTGCCGAAATTGCTTTTTAAGTTTTCTAGGAAGATAAAAGTTGCGGCACACGATTACTGTTCTCACGATTAATAGCCGCCAGAATTTAATTTACACAAGCGCGTCGGGTTGATTGTTTTAATTAAATTAGACACTCCCCGCACGCTTATTTATGGATTCTGTATAAAACCACTGAACACATAAACGTGGGTTACTTTTATCAGTATATTAGACCGAACGCAGAAATTATTGTGGTGTAATTTTTAGAAAAAAATGTTGGTGTATGACTATGACTGGATACATTTGAATTTCATAAAAACTGCTGCAAAACAGAGAGGTAAGCGTTGCTATTTGAATAATTTTAACAGAAATATTCAGGAGTCTTTGCGTTTTAGGTCATTACAACTTGTTGCAGTTTGTCTTCGAAGCAAATGTACAGAAGACTCGGAGCTTGAACGGGCACATGTCAAGCAAACTTATTCCTGGGTGTAGCAATTTTTTCTGTTGTGAAAGAGGTCGTACATTCAGTATCACATTGATCCACATGCATCAGTGACATTTGATCTCAAATTCTTAAATTGGTCATAATACTTACCAAAATGTACATTGACCTTTCTTCCCTTAAGCATCTAAATGAAATTTAGATTTTGGTTTACAGTTTTTCTCATCATCTACTTAGGACTGCTTCTACATTAAAGAAGCTGGCTATAAGGAGCTGAAATACTCTAAAGCTCATCTGGTTACTAAAAACTAGTTATGTTTTAGTTATACTAAAGGCCAAACACAAAAGCATTCAACAACCATTTATATCAAAACAGTTTTAAGCATTAGACTGGGAGACAGTGGAGTTCAGGGCCTTCTTGAAGCGGAAGACATTCAAAAACAACCTCAAATGTTACTTTCAGTGCTGGAAGCGTTGATGCTATTAGCAAAAGAACAAGCAAAGCATAATTCCATTGTGAAAAGAAAAAAGAAAGAAATCATCATTTCAGCTACTGTCCTTTGATCTCTCAGCCCGGGATTGAGCTTCACTTGTTCCTTTGGAGCCAACACCCACTGATACAGCTCCCCACTTGAAAATGAATGTTATTAGTATTATTATATTCGTTTAATAATATTAGTATAATACTATAGTATTAGTATATTAGTATTATTCCTTTAAAGTTTTGTATCACTGAATGGTATATATGCTACATGTGTTAGATTATTATAATAATAATAATAATAATAATAATAATAGCTTAGACTTATATAGCGTTTTTCTGGACACTCCACTTAAAGCGCTTTACAGGTAATGGGGACTCCCCTCCACCACCACCAATGTGCAGCATCCACCTGGATGATGCGATGGCAGCCATAGTGCGCCAGAACGCTCACCACACATCAGCTATCAGTGGGGAGGAGAACAGACTGATGAAGTCAATTTATAAATGAGGATTATTAGGAGGTTGTGATTGGTACACCCCTATTCTTTTCGAGAAAAACGCCCTGGGATTTTCAATGACCACAGAGAGTCAGGACCGAAGGACTGTGCCTGTTTACAGTATAGTGTTCCCATCACTATACTGGGGCATTAGGACCCACATTGACCGCAGGGTGAGCTCCCCCTGCTGGCCCCACTAACACCTCTTCTAGCAGCAACCCTAGTTTTTCCCAGGAAGTCTCACATCCAGGTACTGACCAGGCTCACACCTGCTTAGCAGCAGTAGGTTGCCAGTTGTGAGTTGCAGGGTGATATTATAGCAGTTTTCATTCAGGGAATGCCAATGGTACTGTCTTAAGTCAAGGAACAGCAGAGAGCACTGATTTAGTGTGTGTAGGACAGTGGTTTGAGACACTGCTCCCACTTCTAGTGCTCGTGACCGCAGGGGGTACCTGTTACTCCTGGGGGGGTCAGATTCCGAAAGTAACGCCCATCTTCTCATTAACCTTTGTCTTCTCCCCACAGAAGATGATGCGCCAGGTTGCCGGCAACAGCAATGACTATTGCATGGGCGGCAGGGCGTCGTGCCTCGCGGAAGATGGCCGACACCCTGCCAGCCACTTCGACTTATGTACCTCACAGTCCAGCAAGTTCTACCCCGCGCCCCCCCCGCCTTCATTGCAGCTGCCCCTCCCCCCGTTGCCCCCTCCGCCGCAGAACAGCCTCAAACCCCTGCCCTGCCAAAGGCAAGACGCCAGGAGCGACCCCGGCTCCCAGACAGTGGGGGTTAAGAACGCTGAGAAGCCAGAGGACTCTAAGAAAAAGAAGAGCTTGGGGAGATCCGGCAGGAGGGGCAGGCCCTCCGGAACCACAAAGTCCGCGGGCTACCGAACCAGCACCGGGCGACCGCTGGGCACCACCAAGGCGGCGGGATTCAAAACAAGTCCAGGGAGGCCTCTGGGCACAACCAAGGCTGCAGGCTACAAGGTGAGCCCAGGGAGGCCGCCCGGCAGCATCAAGACTCTGTCCCGCCTCACCAAACTGGGCTATGGTTCTTGCAGTGCAGCAGCCTTCCCCTACTCAATGATGCACAAGAGAGCCCTGTGCGAACCCTCGGGCAAAGAGAAGGAAACTAACGAGTAACGTCTTGCTTTCCTTATTTATTGCATTGCTTGTAAGGAGTAAAGGTTTGAGTGCATGTCCTAAGTGCTGTGGATCAGGGAGTGTGTTGTGATATTTCAGAGCTAGTCTGGTGGAGGGGGGGAGGGAAGATGTACAGATTTACTTCTGATTGATACCTACATCCAGCAAGTGTATGCCTCAATCAAATCAATTAGTTTTTCATATAAATATATATAGAATATATATAGTGTGTTAAACAAAAAAAAAAGAAGAAGAAAATGCTATGGTTATTGTTTCACATCAGAAAACCTTTCTTTGTTTGCCACAGGACATATAATATATTATTATTAGACTTCCAGAATCACTTGTGCCACCCATGTATCCAAAAACATTTTTTGCTCTTGCTGTACCATGTGTGAATTGTCAACTGCATGATGACATTCACACAGTTAATCACTAAATAAACATTTTTTGGGGTGAATCATTATTTTAGTGAATCTGGTGACTAATCCGACCTTATCTGAACTATAATACATCTATAATAAAATGAGAAGAGGGAGAGTATGTTTTCAGTATCAATGGAATCTTTCTTTCTGTGTTTAATAGCAGAGACAGAGCCACTGAGTGGCTTCACTGAGTCTACTTGGCTTTATGTTCTAAAAGAAATAAAAGAAAAGCTTTCAATGCAGTACATTGTTTTCTAGGTCATGCAGTCTCTTTGGTGTTGATACCATTAAATAATCATGGAAGGCACTATGATCAGTGGAATTGTGGATATAGTCAAGAATATGTAATGTATTTTCTATCTCCTAATTATTAGTGTCTGGTCTATAAAGAGCAGTGGATGTCAGATACCAAGAGCATTAAGTAAATGAAAGCACTGAGTAATCTAAATATTCTAAATGTCTCTTATTTTCTGACAGTGTAGCATTAAAAACATGTTCTGTGTTCTGATTTAAGGCTGTTATTAATGATGGCTTTAAAGCTGGATTTCACGAGGAACGGACACCTTTCAGATTAATTTAGGAACGCAGAATGGAGTGACTTTCACCCTTTGTGACGGAATTGTTTTCCATCTAAAATGTTAACTCAGACATAATATATTGACGAACTATCTGATTCTACCTACTCCATCATGGAAGTAAACAATGATTTGCGAAATGTATGCTCACAATGTATGTTTTGTCTTGCAAACAAAAAAAAAAACATTTGAGCTAACACCATGAACTTCATAATTCTACCATGTCTTAATGTATCCACATTTATTCTGTCAATCATTCATTAGTCATTTTCTACAACACCTGCTTTTTCATAATGCTTGACAGAGTCAGATAACAATAATACTTAGGGTATTAAACCACAAATACACACGTGATCAAGTATTCAGAAATAATTAGCTCAAAGCTAATCAAGCTAATCTAGGTTTTTAATCAGTTGTTTTTTCCAACATAAAAACTTACAGCCTGTGACAAAATATTTGAAAATTATTTTACTGTATGAAAAACATACTTTTGGCATGTTTTACTGCCTTTATTTACATTATGTTCAGAATATACGTTGTTGTTATCATACCTATTAAGGCAAATGGAACATTTTTATACTGGTGGCCATTCGTGCTGAGAAGATGCTAAAATGGTTTTCAATTATCTTTTATTTAATATTATAGTTTATCAGGGGATTCCTAAGTACTATTGCCATTATTTGTGTCTATGAAGATACAACACTCATTATTCATGATGAATCAGTTTTAGACTATTTCTTATTTTTAATTCTATGTATAATAGAATAGTGTTGCAGTGTCCTCTTCCTGCTCAAATCTGTGTTCTTTTCCTTGTATGTGTTTTCTACCACTGAAATGCCAGTGTTGTCTGTTAGGTTTTGTCAAAACCCCTATCAAATTGATTAAGGGGTTGTACAGATTGTGCCCTGTATATCAGAGATAAAATGAGCTTTATAGTCTTTATAGTGGGGGATGGGTCAGGACTCAGCAATATAGCTGCAGACCTAAGCCAAATGTGGGGGAGAGATAACAGTTTTATTCTACAAATAAGTGTTAACATACACCTCTGCTTTTTTATCTCAGCTCTTTTTTTTCAGTTGGTAGCTTAAAAAGAAACTGAATTTATGAGTATTGGGTTCAATCTAATTCTGAACCAATTGCCATAGCATAAATGGGCTTCTTTGGTGTGTATATTAAGTGGAATATAATTAGACTCTTATTATGAATTATACTAAGCAAATGATGAGGATAGTACTTAAATTGATACAGGTGGATGTGTTTGTTCTTAATATTTAATTTGGACTGTATTTTTCCTATGTTAAATTCACCTTCCCACACCTAAAATGCCATCAGTAAATAGGCTTATAAAATAATAATAATAATTATATATCGCTAAAATTTTAAAAATGAAAACAGTAAATGACAAGTTATAGCAGGATGTTAAAGGAACATGAATGACATATAAGTTTTTAGCACAGTTCCGTGGCACGCATGTGGAGTGAAATATGTTTATTTGGTGTGCCATTATTTTTCTTTTTCTTCCTTATTTATGGGAAGCTTTGTACAGCACTTGGGACTTCTTGCTCATAGAACTCCTCACATTCTCCCTGTGTTATCCAAGCAGATGGTTAACTGTATAGGAAGTTAAAATATGGCTATGGAATGAAATAATTCTAAATGTTCTTTGGAAAAAAAACCTGACTCAAAGATTCGCTGTGAACATACATTTCCTTTAACTGTTTTGTTGGGTTTTTGTTTTGTATGCCCTTTAACCAAAGAATCTGATTTAATCTGCCTTCTCATGCTGACAAATATGTGTCAAGTTACATGCATGGTAGCTTAGCTGGTTAAGGAAATTAAAAAAAAACCTGGGTAAACACAACATTAACTTTTCAGTTTCCAACAGAGACAAAAGCATCTGTAATTCCAACAGAAAAAAGAGCACTTATTTACCTCTATTCTTTTTACTATGAGAAAAAAAATGAGATTCTCCTTTTTATTTTTACCAATGAAAATCATATTGATTAATAGTGTGTTTTAAAAACTGTCAATATGCTGTATAAACATTTTCGATATTGTCTTTATCTCCAGCTTTTCCAAATATTTTAAACCCTCCTGGGAAGTAAATCAACACCTAAGAAAACAGGAACAATAATGTGATTAAATAAACCATTCACAAGCATTAACCACTGCCTTTTCTTTACATTATGTATGTTGCAGCGCTATATGATTGCCTTTTTTGTAGTGCCTATATGTAGCTATGTCTCATATTGGATCCAAATGATTATGAAACTCATATATTCATGACACTTTATTCATATTATCACTTGCCTTTATGCTGTAATGAAGCGGGGTTTTGTCATTAGCTAGGCATTGTGAATAAACAATGTTCAATTTATATGTATTTACTTCACTTTTATTGCTTATTTGATAAAAAATATCTGAAAGGTTGAATATGGTACTGTTTGGTTTTGATTAAACTTTTTGTGCATTTTGTGCATTTCTATCATAGAGAGATCATTACCAAACGTGTACTGGAGCTTCTTGTAACACTGTATGTTAGACATATGTTTTGTGAAATTAAGGTCTGGTTTTAATTCAAACAGGTAAGAATACTCTGTGGAAACAAAAAAAAAACACTACTGTGCTTTAATAGGACTGGATAACAAGTAACATTCCAAAAACAAGTGGTTATTCCTGCTTGACTGGCTTTAGTTTGATGAATGCAAGGCATCTAGTTAGAAAGCCTTTGTTCCTGGATATTTAATAGCAAAAATATTATCTTTTAGGCTATGAAAAGATTACAATTTTTCATTACTCCCAAGATGTTTAAAAATATTGACCTTTAAAACCTACCTATAATCAAGTAAAGAAAGTAAAATGAAACATAGAGTACCATACCAGTCTCAGGACAGAAAGCTACCTTTAAAAGAGGATATCTAGCAAATAGCTAAACATGACAGCAATGTCTGTAAATTTTACACAGTGATGCTGTCACATTTGTTTCTCAGAAATATATTAAAGTGGCATTTGATGATAATAAGAATAACCTCACATAACTCTCTAACTAAGTACTGTGTGTTTTTTACCTTTTGCAGTTCTGCATGACTGTAACACAAATCTCCAAAAAATAAATGACCTTTTTCTTCTTATAGTTTGATAATGAAGATGATGTCTTCAATCAAGGCATACGTTTTGGGATCACATGTAACAATGTTACCTGAATTGGGTGACGATTAAGCCCAGTCGAAACCACTTTTATTGTAATTACAATAAATAAAATAAACAGTTACTATTTTCTTGTTTTACCCTTTCTGCATGATTGTCAAGTGTGAGCAAAAGTGGTGTAATAAACTTTCCATTTACACTTGGACTAATGCTTGTTTTTCTGAAGAATAATGGAATTTTTTATTATAATGTACAGTATAGCAGTAATATATATGCGTGTGCTGTTCATTAAAAGATCTCATCAGATATGTGTGTGAGAGAGCCTTGGGTTCACTGCTGTACTCACACACCCCATTGCAACAGAAACGGCCATACAGTTTCCTAACAAAATAAGGTTATTTGGCCCATCTAGCTTATTTGTTTGTCAGTATCCCAGTGATATGAGAATCTCCTCAAGTTATTTCTTGAAAGAAGTGGTAATATTGACTCCAACAACATGGTTGGGTAGCTTGTTTGTTTCAGGCTCCTGAAAACCATAAATACATGCCTCCTGTTCTCAAGTTTTAAAAGCTTTTCCCTTAGGTTCCCATTTGTTTCTCTGGTTTATGGTTCACTGTTGGTTCTAAAAATGTCTGCAGGGAGAACTTTGTCAATGTCTTTTAAGATGTTTTTTTTATATTGCCAGCAGCCATATCATCCTGCAACTCATAAGTGAAAACCCGCTGATGCTAAGCAGGCATGATCCGGGTCAGTACCTGGAATGGGAGGCCTCATGGAAAAGCTAAGGTTGCTGCTGGAAGAGGTGTTAGTGGGGCCAGCAGGGGATGCTCACCCTGCAGTCCTAATGCCCCAGTATAGTGACAGAGAGGCTACACTGTAAAAAGGCACCGTCCTTCAGATGAGACATAAAACCGAGGTCCTGACTCTCTGTGGTCATTAAGAAACCCAGAAGAAGGCTCCACGGCCAAAACGTTGTGTTCTCTTTCTTCTTTTTTTCAGCATGGAATAAACCTATTACTTGTTCCTTTGCAGCCTACGCATGCTGACGCAACTACCCACCTGAACTATTAAGAAACCCAGAGCGTTTCCCCAGTGTCCTGGCCAAAATTCCCCATTGGCCTTTACAAATCATGGCCTCCTAATAGTCCCCATCTATGAACTGGCTTCATCACTTTGTTCTGCTCCCCAGTTATAGTTGATGTGTGGTGAGCACACTGGCACATCATCCAGCTGATGACTGCACATGGTGGTGGTGGAGGGGAGTCCCCATTACCTGTAAAGCACTTTGAGTGGAGTGTGCAGAAAAGCGCTATATAAGTGTAAGGAATTATTATTATGATTATTATTGTTGTTGTTTAGAAACCGTGAATCAGGAGTTCTCAAACCTTCTCTGTACAAAAGTAGATTCAGTTCTTTTAGACTGTCAAGGTAGAAGACACATTAATCTGTCACCTTGCTCATCTCTGGATTGATTAACAGCAGCAATATCTTTCTTTTGTAACTGGGACCAAAACTTCATACTGTGTTCAAAAGTAGGTCTAACTAGTGTATTAACACAACATTCATTGATTCTACACCTTTAAGTATTTTTCATAATATTCTGTTTGGATTCTTTATTTCTTTAAAAAAATAAAATGACATCAACACCTAAGTCTTTTTTATAGGTAATGTTACCTACTTAACATTTTAGTTTTATGTTTTTACTCCCTGAATATAGCATTGCATATATCTACATCAAATATAATTCAGTGTTAAATTCCATCATAATCAGTTTGTAATTTACAGGATTTGTTAAACATCCTGTTTTTGTATCATCTGCAAACTTAACTGGTTTCCTAATTGTACAATAATCTAGGTCGTTGTTAGAATTTAGTTACATTCTTCAAGTCATTCTATTTTCTACTCCAATTATAAATGTTTTTCTAGACACTGCAATGATCAATATTCACATTGTTTTTTTCCCATCCATTAACCAGTTCTTAAACTGGTCCTGTGCATTTCCTTGAATAAAGTAAGACATATCGGTCTATAATAATTAAGTTTGGTGTTCTCATCCTTTTATGGATGAGTGTTGCATTAGCAATTTGTCACGGAATAATTAATATTACCTTATGTTGCATCCAGATGACTCTGTTGACTTCTGTTGTCCTCTACACTTTCTATATCATTCACATTCCATTTTACATCTTATAAGTTTCATTCTTTCATAGTATGAATTGCACACCTTTTTTATGGCCTCTATCTCTTATATGCCTAGATCAATTCACTCCTGTAGGTGCTCTGACTAAATAAAAAAGCACCTGTACAGATATATCTACAATTAATTTGCCTTACAAAACAATTTTACATAAATGGCTTGGACGAGAACGTCACTTTACCAAACAATGTACAATCCACTATAATTTGTTTTTATAAAATCTAAATAAACTGCCGTGCTTTGGATTTGATAATTGCAAAACACTGCTCTCTGTAGTCAGTAGAAGGCAGTGCAAAAAGATGTTAGACTGCTGCTGGAATTCCTCTTCAGTTTCAACATTTTTAACTCGGTCCAGAAAGAATGAACGGCAAAAAACTGTCGAAAGTACGACATTGGTCTACATTTTTAATTTAATCCCCAAGTTCTTGAAAGTGCACATTTGGCAGAGGTTATGTTGAAAAAATATGGACTTTGTTTGCAGTAGTCCTAGAGTTTTATATACAGCGTTACCGACTGTTTTGAATGTCTAATAAAATAGGGAAAATGCACAACAAATAGATCTAGCAAATCCAGCAGGTATTCTTCATTTAAAAAGGGGGTGATGTGGTTATTTTGTATATTAGCCGTATTGCAGCACTTCACAAAACGTCTCAATTTCCAACACGCTATCAATCACAGGAGAGTCCCGATACACTCCTGTATTACCTGTAATACTATAACGCCTGTGCAACGCTGACATTTTTTACATTAGGAGTCATAATCAACCTCTTGCTGTATGTCTGGTATTTTTTCACTGCGTTTTGAAAGTTTAGATATTGCTTAGAATGGGTACGTGCACTGTAATACAGGAAACCGTGATATTCAGGACGACAAACACTGTATATGATATCTGCTAATATCATTATCAAATGAACCGTGCTTAACCAAACTAACTCCTACACTATGCGATATTTCAGGAAAGCTACTCCTACCACAAATGAATCTTTATCTTTGAATAACGCTTTACCTTAAATACAAGTGTTTACAATGTTTTACGACTAACCAGGATATAGTTTTTTGACCTCGATTTGTGACTGACAGGTCACCAAAACAACTTCCGGATTGACAAAACAAGTCAAACCCCTTTGACCGGGAAGTAAAACAGAATAGGGGTTATTTACAGAATTGAGTGGAATGTCTTTCCATCATGCACAGGAAACCATGACTTATATTGTTTAAATTAATTGCAAGAAAGCAAGAAGACGTCCTGTGATGGGCTGGGCGGTTAACACCGTATGGTTCATGTATACTTTATGTTTTGTACTCTGCGTGTTTGAGCATCGACAGGTGTTTGCCGTAGGTTAGTGGTTTTCGATTGTAGAGTTATCACAGACATAATATTTAACTAAAAACATGCACACGTGTTTTTATTGATTTAGTAATATCACTTGCATGGGTATGCTTTATTCTCTATATCCTTTATGTAGTCTTTAGTTACGAATTAAAGTCAGTTTATGTGATATCACAGCGTTCCGGTTCTGGCTAACTGAATCAGTAAGTCTGCCCAAGCTATTGCTCATTTCATTTTTTTCTACTTTTAACAGTTAATTAAATGAAGAGTTCGGATAGTACTGGTTTTATCTGATAGCAAACACAAATCTTGTATGTATTCTTCTAGGTTGCAAGTAAATATTATTACAAACCAATGAATGTATCTAAAGCCTTATTTTCGATATTTACAGAAGAAGAAGACCCCTCTCAGTTTGAAGTTCCGGATGGATTACATTTGGCATCCGACACGGGAATCGGCACGGCCGGTGAGTCTGAGACAGAGGTGACGACGGCAGTTCAGTTCAAGACCGCCGAGATCGCGGACGCAATGCTGGGAACAGAGGCAGCGCCTGTCCGGGCGGAGCTGCGGTCGCTGATTCCTGCAGACGCGACACCCGCCCGAACAGGGTCCCAGGTCTCTTGTGACTATGGGAAATGTGGGTCCCAAGAGAACGAGCTGCTTTCAGCCCAGCCACCGGCGGAGGAGTCCCCCGGCGAAAATAGCGTGGAAGACGTGCCACCGGTAACCCTGGAGATGGTCCACATGGAGGCAGCGACCTCCGAGGAGCAAAATTCAACCGAGACTGCAAAGACGCCTAAAGTAAACTGTGAAAAAAGAAACATGACTGAGGTGGATAACCTCACAGTACACATTCTAAATGCCTCTCAGGTAAAACTATATATTTTTAAAATTAATAGGACAGTGAGGTGGATATGAAGACAGGTCTGTGCACATCTTGTCTCTTGTTCATCGATAACAGTGCAAGGACAACTTAAAAGGGAAAATGGGGATTTCATCGCAATTTCTGGAAAAGGCTAATTAGAGTTATGTGCCTCCTTCAGTGTTAGCTATAAGAAAAGCGTTGCTTAATTAGAAAAAAATCAGTTTAACTTGAATGTCAGTGGATGGAAAGTACCAAAAAAAGTATCAACCACTATCCAGGAAGCAGAGCAGTATTTATCTACATGTGGGCAGAAACGTTACTGTGTTCCTTTTTGTTTAAATTCAGGACCTGATGGAGTTTCTGAATGTCAACAGCAGCGAATGCTCGGTGGTTTTGTTCTACACAGCCTGGTGCCAGTTTTCTGCCAGTCTGGCTCCTCACTTCAACGCGTTGCCTCGGGTGTTTCCAGCCATCCACTTCCTGGCCCTGGACGCTTCGCAGCACAGCAGGTGGTCTTTGGCAGAAATTAAGATACATTCATTATGTGATTAATTATTACTTATGTGTACATTTTATGTGAAGAGTTGTAGTAATGTTGTGATAGCTTGAGCGCAAGAACTGACCTCGCCAAAACTCCACAGAGTGGCTCAACCTGTAAAGGTTGCACTTGGAAGCAGATGTCCTGGGCATCAGCATGGGAGGTTGGTATGGGTTGGAGAGGGCTCTATGGAAGCTCCTGCATTTGTCCGGGGTGCACAGTGTGAGAATCCAGTCCTTTCTGACAGGTGCAGTGGATTTTGCCCCATGTCATACAATGACTGGCTCTGATGGATGGGTGAGGCACTGGACTGTGTCTGTCCTTCCTTATCCTCCCTGTTTAGAGCTGAGATGTAATAGTACACTTGTCAGTTGCACATCGAGTGTTTGTAATATGACTAAAAAAAAACTTTCTTCAACAATTGACCTCATATCCCTAGTACTGCATTGACTGATACCACAGTAGCATTGGGTGGCAACTAGTAAGTTCACCTTTTTTATTTAATTAGTGGAAGACAATTCTGATTAAGCTTAGCTGGGTTTTTTATTGTAGTTACTGAGCCCATGTGTTGTTAATTATAGTTATTTGCATGCAGGAAATGATACATTCTATCAACACTAAACCTGCTGTTTTAAGTTACTATTCAGTCATGTTTCTAAATATTTTTACACAGTTAGTGTATCCCATGTGTATAATTACCAAACTGCTGCCAGCTACTCTGCTATTTTGTTATCTATTTGGTATTTATGTGCCACTGTACGTTGGCTGTTTTAACATGCATCTTCTTTTTTAGTCTCTCCACAAGGTTTGGGACTGTAGCTGTTCCCAATATTCTTCTCTTCCAAGGGGTTAAACCAATGGCCAGGTTTAACCAGACAGATCGGACACTAGGAACTTTAAAGGCTTTCATAGTTAACCAGACAGGTGTGTACCGTGCAGCATCTTTCTTTTTCCAATTTCAGTAAGAACTGCAGGAGAACAAAATTTAATTGTTTTTTTTTTAAGTGTAGGACTTTGGAAAAGCATTTGAACGTGTTTTTCATTTTGAAAAGCTTAGAACTGTTGTCAAGGGAAGGAAACAAATGCATTAGTAAGATCCGATTTAGATGTTGCAAGAAGGAAATTGCCTGGAGAAGGGTGACAGTGCTAATTCCTGACTATGAAAAAATCTTGCAGAGGTTAAAAGAACTGATTCCAGATATGTTCAGTCCTTGTCCTAGAGGGCTGGTGTGTCTGTAGGTGTTAGGTTACTTCAGTTAAACCAAAGACATAAGAATGGTTATACATGAGAGGGTAGTTGTCTGTAAAGTCGGAGTGTTGTAAAGAAGTCTTGCAGACATATCACCCTTCACGATCCACAATTGAACTCCTTTGTCCGAGAGTTTCTGCTCCCAAATTAGTAAAGTAAATGAAATTAGTAAAATAAAAACTAATCAAAAGAATAATTTGATTCGTTTTTCAATAGCACTAAAGTCTGCTGCAGTGAAGACTGCCTTTTTCATTTTTCCTTAGGAATCCACATAAAGGTTGGTGACTTCAGAAATGTCAGGCATTGATTTCTTATGAAGAAATATACTATTTTTAGTTTACCCTTTATTATCTAGTTACTGTTTGATTCTAGGATTATGTGACTTTTATGCTTTTTTCTTTCATGGACTGCTTGTACTGATTCAGATTATCCACATTATAGTTTTAAATCTGTTCCAGCCTTTGTGAGGAGCTAATGCACTTATGAATTCTATATTTAGGTATTGAAGCTGACCCAGTACAGGAGGTAACAGAAGAAGATCATGCAGGACCCCTGCAAAGCATTCCTGTTCAAAGCATTGACTGGCTGCTTGTTTTCTCCATCTTTTTTATCTCTTCTTTTACTACTTATGCAATACTACGGACAGACAGCATTCGATGGCTAATTCCAGGACAGGAACATGAGCACCAGGACTGATACTTGAGCCCCTATTTATAGTCAATGCTAAGAATTTAACTGGATGTATGTACTGTAAATTGTGATTTTGGTGTAAATTACTAAAATGCTCAACAAACTTGAGCAAAAATGGTTAAAATATAGATTCATTTTATGTTAATTAATCCATGCACTATGTATTTATAAACTCTACTGTGGTATATGCTTACAACAGTTTTGCTGTTACAAAAAAACCTGTCTACTGTTGGACTACTTGGAAACTTAAATAAATACATTGACTGGGGAATTAAAAACCGAAATGAAACAAAAATCAATGTAATGAAATATTATTATTAATAATAATAATTGCTTACACTAATATAGCACATTTCTGAACACTCCACTCAAAGCACTTTACAGGTAATGGAGATTCCCCTCCAGCACCAAAAATTTGCAGCACCACCTGGAGAATCCTTGTTCTGGAGAGCCTCAATCCAGTTTGATTGAGAAATCACCATAATCCCCTGTTTTGACAGTTTTGGGACACTTGCTAATTATTGATCCGTTAATCAAGGACTTTGTCCATTTAACTGATCGTTAAGGATAAGAGGCATTCAGATTTTCCTGATAAATTATCTCTAAATGTCTTAATAGAACACATTTTCCTGGCCTAATAATTCACAGTTCATTTGTTCCAAGATGATGTGTGTAGTGCTCCTTGCCCCTCCTGGGATTCAAGATCCAAGCCCACACAGCTCCACTCAAGTTCAAGTTCAAGTTTATTGTGATTGTACTCATATACAGGTATATGGTATAACGAAATGCTATTAAGCTAGCTCTCAGATGATAAGTAGTACAAAAAAAACAACAACAATACAATTGTACTGTATAATAAAAGAAAGAGAGACAACAGGCAGTGTGCAAAACAACAAAAGGTAACAGGTAATGTGCAAAACAACATCAGATGTGCAAAAACATGCATCAACAGAATGAAATAAAGGATAGAACAATTATGGGGAGTGAGCTTTTTGACATGTAAGGTAGAGGTAGATTTCAATGTGTGTTTGAGTTTTTGGTAAGAAGGAAGGAAGAAGGGCACTGTGAGGTTCAGATTGTAGGCTGGGAGTTTAATAGTTTGATAGTGCGGAGGTAAAAACTGTCTCTGAGTCTGGTAGTCCAGACCTGAATGCTCCGGTACCGTTTTCTAGATGGTAGAGGGTCATACAGTCTGTAGCTGTGGTGTCTTTGATGATGCTTAGAGCTTTCCTCAAGCACCGTCTGTCATAAATGTCCTGTATAGATGGGAAGGCAACCCCAGTGATGGACTGGGCAGTTTTCACCACCTGCTGTAGGGCTTTGCAGTCGGCAATACTGCAGTTGCCATACCACACTGTGATGCAACCTGTTTGTGTGCTTTCTGTAGTGCATCTGTAAAAGTTAGTGAGGACCTCGGGACATATCTTAGCCTTCTTCAACTGTCTTAGGAAGTATAGGCACTGTTGTGCTTTCTTAATCAGACAAGTGGCCTTGAGAGACCATGTGAGGTCCTCGGTGATATGGACACCAAGGAATTTTAAGTTACTGACCCTTTCCACTTCAGTCCCGTTGATGTGGGTAGGGGCATGACCGTTTTGCAGTTTCCTGAAATCAACGATCAGCTCCTTGGTTTTGCTGACGTTGAGGGTGAGGTTGTTGTCTTCACACCATGTTGTAAGGAGATTGACCTCCTCCCTATAGGCCCTCTCATCATTGTCTGTGATCAGACCTACAACTGTGGTGTCATCGGCAACTTGATGATGGAGTTGGTGTTGTGTGGCCGTATAGTCGTGGGTGTAGAAGTAGAGTAATGGAATAAGCACACACGCCTGGGGGCTGATAAGTCCGCCACACAATGACCAGGCACAGTTTTACACTATCTAGATTTCAAAGGGGGGTGGGTGGGGGTGGATGTCACTTCTGTAACTAGCTCAGTTCACTATACATTTAAAAAGTGAGGATTAAGCACACCACAGTAGTGCATTGGTTAGCATTGCTACCTTGCAAACTGCCTCATAGTTTAATTCCAGACCTGGGGAGCTATATGTGTGGAGTTTGTATGTTCCCCAGGTTTGTAGGGGCTTCCTTTGGTTGCTTCGGTTTCCTCCTACAGAGACACATTAGTAGGTCAATTGTCTTCTGGGAAAGTTGGCCCTACTATGAGTGTGTGTATCTGCCTGGAGTTGAGGATACAGCATCCTGCTTTGAGCCTATCATTTTCCAAGATAGGCTCCAGCTTCCCCATGACCCTGACTTGGAAGAAGTGGTTAAAAATGGATGGATATATTTAGTGATGACCTGCAAAACAAGCTTTTATACAAAGCATTTGGTGTGTGTGAGATGAGGCATTACTGCTGGGACAGAGACATGTGGCTTTACTCCAGTAGAATTGGTTTACATCAGGGTTGCACATGGATGGTTTTATAGATTTCTCTAAAACACCAACATCGGAAGAATTGGGGAAAGGTGTTAAACTAGTGCAGTTAACACCGGAAGTAAGGCCATAATTAGATCAATTAGATTAGGGTGTCCCAACAGCAGTGCTGCTGTGTCTGTAGGTTTTAATTCCAACTAAGTTCTTAATGACCTAAATCAGCTTGCTGTTGACTTAATTGGACCAGTTTGATAACTTCTTCCAGATCTTTAGGTGTTGCGGCTTTAAATAAACCTAGCAACCCTGGCGGTTATACCAGACTAGCCTGGTTCTTTTATTGATCTGATACATTTACACTACTTTTTGCAAAAGATGGGGTGTTGATGGCAGTTCTCCGGAAATTCTAGATCAGATTCCTTGATCAATGAATTAGTGTCCACATAACAGGAATTGGTCGAATTCTTTCTTTTTTGTAGCTTTGTTATGTATATTTTGTTACAAAACATTTGTAAGTATCTGTGAATACCGGTCGGAAATGGTTGTAGTGTTCCCATTCACGAATTAGAGCCCTTCCTCACCCAATCAACACACGTTTCTGATGTGAAACCTCCTATATAAACAGCTTCTTCTATAATATTATATTTTATTTATATTTGACAGGAAGCTTTAATTTGTAAACTTTATGGTTCGTCCTTGGTTCATTATTCAGTTAAATGTCAACTCCCATTGTCGTTATGTTAAGGTTTTTAATAGTTTCTTTTTGGCGTAAATAGAAACAAAAAGTGAAGTACTCTACCTTTTGTGCGTCGCCAAGTGCGTACATTTTTTTCTTTCAGGCAGTTGCTGAGGCAGTTACGGGGGTCCTAGTGTTCATGAATACGCTTCGTAGGAAATGAAGTGTTGCAAGCTATGCTCTGCAGAATTATGCGTTTGTTAATGTTTACGCCTAAGGCAAACTTTGTATTTCAGGGTACGTTTTTTAAGATTTGCAACACACTTCTTTCCAGACAGTCTTCTAAAATGGTAAGGATGTCCTTACTTTTGGGCTTTACTCGAATACCTTTGCCTGTAACATAAAAGGGTATCGATACGAATTAGTAAAGCAAAGTACATTAGTGAGCCATATTGCTAATATCCAGTTATTCGTTTAGTTTTTTTTAGTATACGTTTACGCAGTTAGAACCTACGTAAATAACTCTTAACTTTTAAGTTTAATTTGCAGCATTCTGCAAAATGAAACGGGACACTCCCACTCTAGATTTCAAAAGTAAAAATACGCAAACAACTCGCTTTGTTATCAAAGGGTTTTATTATAATGTGATTTATTAAACGTGATATTATGCAGCTGTCGTGGCTAGGGGAAAACGCCAGGTTCCTGCTTTTCCTTACACAATAACTACTTTTCTCTTGCTGGAATGCAGTTGTGGGGCACTGTGCTGAGAATACTGCACGTTGTCTTGAAAGAAATGCATGATGTACATTATTAACGATTATATCATATACATCAGTACAATCATATAAGTACTTAACCAAAAAAGTCTTATTTTCTCCCTTTGATTTCCCCAGTCCTCAACTCCAGTACTGTGATTCACAAAGCTGTCACTAATTTTAAGTATAAGATGTACATTTAAACGTTACATAAAAAAGTTTATGATAAGAATTCCTCTCTAGACATTATCTATATTATTACATGACACTGCTATCTTTTCTCATCACTTTAAATCCTTCATGCCAATAAACTTCTTATTATGCTGGTATAATTATTGACTTGGAGTCATTAATCATTACTCAAGAGTATTTAAAATTAACTCAAATGTATTTGTAAGGCAGCTGTACTATTGCAGCTCTCAGGGGAGAGCTAAACCAAAAACTAATCTTCCATATTTAACTTGATGGTGAAAGACCTTATTGGGAACAAATTAACACATTTAATTTATTCTTAATGCATTTCTACAAACAATATATTTTAAGTAATTATATTTCAACTGGCTTGTTCAGAAATTTGGCATGACCTTCTATATGCTGGTTATAAAAGCATTTATTAGTTTTGTTTTTTAGATAAAAGAATGTTTTGGTTATACCACTCTTTACATTGAGTAAGTGCTTAGTTTTCTGTATTCATTGTCAAGTACTATAGTTTGCCGTCTAGAATAAATAGATTATTTGTGGTTAAAGAGCTGTTACTATTGCCAAGCAGCTGTAAATAGCGGCGACTGCCTGTATTATTTTAACTGTGGCATTTGGTGCCCCCTACTGGAAAGTTTGAAAGTGTTTTAACAAAAAAAGATATCAGTGAAGTAGCCTGTCTGGCAATCCATATCAGCTAAATAATAAAAAAAAAAGACATACAAAATCCAATCATTTTTTTATTTTCAAATTTTACATCATTTTTTGTTGCTGTAATCCTAATAGTTTGCCCACTTAGTTAATCAAACACACTTGAAAACTTAAGTCTTCATGCTTTGCCACATAAACAAAAGCCACTGGTTGCACAGCTGCAATGGCTTATCAGATTATATGAAGGGCACTCCTCCTGCTAACCCTCTTCTGAGACCGAATGCACTTAGCCGCAGTGTTGCTGGCAACAGGGTTGTTTTGCAAATGCCAACTGTACTGCACCTGAAGCCTGTATTTTTTTTTTTTAGAACAGGACAAGAAGGTAGCAGACCCCAAAGAATGTCTGAGAAACGAGACTCGTGTTTGATTAACAATTGAGAAAGTAGTGCAGTGGTGCCCACTGGGAGAGCATGCAACTGATCTTACTTTAACTTACTTTAAAAACAGAGTGCTCTCCTGTTTGTGGGACAGCTGCGCTAGAAGATGATCCAAGATTCATTTTCTAGTTATTGAATCTGAAGTCAACATCCTTTAATTGCTTATTTCTCACATTAGGACAGGGCATCCAGGTTTTAAAAAAGAGTGGGTTTAGTATTTTTTATGGGCACTGTACAGTAGATTTTTGAAGATTTCCAGTATTTCTACGTAGGCCCCATTGTGTTTTTACGATCAGAAAACTTGTTTATACTCAGTGCAAAGACCTTTGCGGTTTGTGCCCAGCGTATCACATTTGAGCAAAGAGTCAATTACAACACAGTCTTACAGGAAAATGTAAAAAAGTAGTCAGTCAGTTGGAATATGTAGGAATTGGAATGTTCCCCCAGCAGAGGGCGCAACAAGCCAATAGGTTCTTATGGGGTCCCCACTTTTATGAAGAATTTAAGGATAAAAAGTTACTTATAATGATGAGGAGTCACATAACACTGGATTATATTTGTACAACCCAAAATGAACTGTCTTAATTGTGGTAGAGGTTAGAGGAATGCTTCACAGATCGTTTTGTTTTAAAAGTGGTTTTGTAATTTAGGCTGAGACCAGGCAAATGCAGGCCTTTTCTTCCTTCCAGAGAGGCGAAATAATTGATTCAGTCATATCGTGTGTGAGTCCCTCCGTACGGCACGGAAGAAAAGAATGCTTTACTCGAGCGAGCAGCAAATTCCTGAAAAGAGCGGCCATCCCTTCTTTTCCAGGCCTCCGATTCCCAGTGGTTGTCGCCAGGAGAGAGGGAACAGCTGCTGCTAGAGCTGAAAGCCACAGGTTGGGTGGAAGTGGAAGACCGGGATGCCCTGTACAAAGAAATGAACTTCAAATCCTTCAATCAGGTATTCTGTGATCGACAGGACATCCTGAGCTGGTGTATGAACTCTTTCCTCTGGTGGGTCCCTGGCAGGTTCACCAGCCATGCAGTCAGTTATTTCCTCCTCACTTGTCCCATGGATTTCTTAGTTTTGAGAGCCCAAAGTTGGTGTGTTATACTTGTTAGATTGTACAGTACCTTCAGTCCCCTGCTGGTTCAGCTTACGAGTAGTACTGATTGTATCATTAAAAAAAAAATTATACCTCAGGTCGTGCCAACCTGAAACATAACACCAAGCCTAAATTTTGTGTTTTAATTCTATCAGTTAAGTCTTCTGTTATGCTGTGTGTGTTTTTGAATTTAAGCATTAAGTGACAATATTTTTACCACCAGTGGCATTTGACAAGGTCACTTTCTTTACTGCTGCGCTAACCTGGTTTTAAAGTATTGTTTTGAAAGCCACTGTTAAATTGACAGGAAGGCAGGAATGAAAACCAACACTGGCAATAAAAAAGTACTGAAATGAATAAAAAGATTAATCAAAGCAGAAAAAAAGTTACGTGAAATAACTACATGTTGAAAAGATCATGCATGGTCATACATTTGATTCAAATGCTCTTGGAAACTTTAGGTTGTGGAGTTTTGAAAAACCTAGTTGGACATCTACTGGGAGTTTGCAAAGTTGACCAGATGTGTAAAATTTACAAGTAACACCTGTGCCGCCTTCTTTGTAGACACAAAGTTTGTTTCTCCCTACTACCAGTATTTGTTGCACTGTAACAAATTTATAAGGTACTCTTGATTGGTTTTGTCAAACTCCTCCATGAGTGCCATGATTAATTACCCAACAAAGAGCATTCAAAGATCTCTCATATGTTTGTCTCATACTTCACATTATATACTTAATGTATAGGCCAGCTTTTGCCCTGCGCACTTAGCAGCTGTTGAATTTGATTTGTTTCCGTGAGGTCAGGAGAGAGATGGCTGGCTGCATTAGTGTCGGAAACAGGCGTATTCGTGGCAAAAGCATCTATCGTGTGACTCTGCTCAGTCTCTCTGACTGCTGATTGGTTGCAGGTGTAGCTCCAGTCAGTTGTTTGACCTTCAAGAGCAACCAAAAGGGGATTGTCTAGTTTGTGTAAAGACATTCTTAGGATTATTTAACAGTTTGGTTTATCTAAAAACAGAAATTTGGACAAAGCTTGTGGTCTTAAATGCATTCATATATACATTTAATTGCATTTATTTTCTTGGGAAGGTCTCTAATGTTTTTTTTTATTCCAGATTTGTTAAATTGCTTTATATTACCAAATTAAGTGAGATATTTTAAGATTGAGGAGCTCAGTGAGACGTTTTCTTTTTTAACTTTATCCTCCATACACTTGGATGTGCAGTAAGTTATTCACAACACAATTTGATGAAAGTGCTAAAACGAGTTATTCAAAGATAGCTGCACTCAAAGCAGCTTTAAGGAAAAAAACATTCTCTGGTTTTCATGGCAATATTATAAAAAAATCCTTTTTAGCTTCAGCTTTCAGAATATCCATGTCTTCATGTTAAAGTGCTGGCGGTGCAGGAAATGCATTCAAATCACACGTGTGTAGCTTTAAATAGAGCTAGAGAACTCTATGACATGTTATGACTTGGCCATGTGATGCCATTTGTAATTTGTATTTTTCTTCCAGATTTACAGATGTAAACGGCAAAATCTCAAGGCCACTTAGCGGACATCCGCTAATCCAGTGGTTAGTTGTTTTAGCCCCTAATGTACTCTGTTTTTACACTTCCACGTGTTTGAAGTGGAGGACTCGGCTCTGACCTTTCCCATCTGCTCCTCTCGCAGTAAAACTCTCCTCTTACCCTTCCTTGTCAAACCAGATTAAGATGAGAAAATCCAGAGGACCGTTTGGCAGCAATTTGGGTTTCGATCAGAATGATTTCTCTCACAAACAATCAAATGAGATAAAAAGTTTCATCTGCTTCAGAAACCACTAACAGTCCCATCATTCCTAACAGTTTGATATTTTGTTTGTGTTTCACGAAAAAGCAGGCAAACTCACGTTGTTCCAATTTGACATCTTGTGCCATTTCTTCTCATGTATTTTCACTGTTTTTTTCCTTTCATTTGGAGACTTTTCCTAGTACTTTTCTTAAAAGGGATTGAGATGAAGAGTGACAAGCTGGATGATTTCCATTTGCTAGTTATCTCTAAAGTGATGGACTAGGGGAAACTAGATCCCTCAGAGTTTATAATGAGAGTCACAAATCCCCTTCCTCAAGAAAAGAGACATTCCCTACAGGTCCTCTTGGGGGAGCTTGTATTTTGCCAATTATTATTTGAAACTAGCTGAAGAGAGCTTTGCAAGAAAGACAGGATTCCATATAGAGCTGCCAAGAGAAGGATAAGCAAAAATGTTTTTTTTTAATATTTTTTTCTTGATGAGGACAAATTGAATGCAGTAAGTGGAAATCTTAGTATGTTATAACAAAACCAGTAGTCATATCTTTGTGCCAAGTGAAGTATGTGTCCTAGTTTTAAATAGGTTGTGAAGTAAATTTAAATTATTTTCCCTTTTGAATAGTGACATTTATAATTAGTTTTGAACATTTAAATCCTTTTTCTGGAACAACATTTGCTGATTCTGTTCCAAACATTTCTTTGGTGGACATTTCTATGTATTGTATTACTGATCTCAAATGTAAATTATAAGCATTTTAAGAATAGAATAAAATCTTTGGGTTCTGTAAAATGTTTTACTATTTGAATTTGAGTGATTCTCCTATTTTTCTGGGGAACTGGGAGTGCACAAAAAAATTAAAATAAGAAAATGCAATGAATGATTTATACAGCTGTTGAATTTATCATTTTAGTTTATTGTGCCTACTGAAGACTCATGAATTAAAAGTGAAGAAAATGTTTGAATACTTTGTTTTTACCTTTGGGTCTGTGGAATGCTAGAGTTTAAATGTTTTTGTAGCTTTCTTGGCTGTAGAAATTTCAGATTTATTTAAATGTATTAACAATGACAAGGTCCTAATATTGTATACTGGTGGAAGCTGTTTTACCTTAATTTCACTGTTGCCCTTGCTTCAAACCATGACCACATTACCTTAAATGACAGCAGGTGTTTAATGGTTCTAAATTACAGAGAGTTTGGAAATATGTTCTGTTTGCTGGTTTTTGAGGACATGTCCAAAGTTCACTCAGATTTTTGTGTCTTAACAGTGTTTGCTAGTGGAAAGGGTTAAAGTGTATGTGCATGCACTCATCTTTAGGGAAGCACCATTACTGGGATTAGAGATTCTCTCTTACCCTGAGAGACAACTGGCCCTGCAGCAGCTCTAAAGGATAACTTCAAAGTTTTTCAATATCCCTAGCACACACTTTTTTAGACCTTTTCTCCTATTTTGTTCTCCTAAGGGGGCATTCAGACAAATCTTGGGATGAAACTGCCTGTTCTAGACGCATGATTTGCTGTGTTAATGTTAAACTAAGGTGTTGTAGAAGTAAGCCTGGTCTCAGGGGCTATGCCTACACTGGCCATTTTCTAAATGACTGACAGTGCCTTCAGTGTTGTATAGTGTTCTGTCGCTTATAGAAAGCAGCCACATTTTCAGTCCCGTGCTGTTGTAACTCCCACAGAACTTCGCACACAATTTCCCACCCACAGCAGCAAAAAGGACAGCTAATAAGTAATCTGTTGAAACGTTCTGAAAAGCTGTGTGTTACTCGGTCCCTGGAGTTAAAGCTGCTCTGTTCAAGTTCAGACATGAAAGTTGATGTTTTAATACTTAATAGACAACCGTAACAAAAAGATAAGTTTGGTCTGGTACCAAAACTGGATGATTCAAAGGGAGAGCTTGCAGGTGAGTAAGCAGGAGTAAGCACAGGTGAGTAGGAGCTTGTTGCGTCTACAGTTACGCAAAAGGGAGGGCTAGTGCAGAACATAGTCCTACCTAAGGCTGAATGGTGCCAGTCTGTTTTTCTTTATAATTAGTGATCCCTCTGTAATTTGATAGCTCAGATTTTAAAATGTGGCCCGGAAAAGTGTTTTGTATGGAAAAAAAAAAATATTTGTATCACTATATGGTCAGCTTTGTGGGGGACCACAGATGTAGCCTGGCAGTTGTTACTGCGAAACATGACTTCATGTTGGATTTGTTTTCCCATCCAGCCGTCCTTTTCTTGTAAAGTTTTATGAAAGTCCTGACGCCCTCCTCACTGTGGTACTGTGGGTTCTTGTTGGATCCATGTTCAAAGATTAGTGCTGGGGGAGCTGAGCGGTTGGTGAATCTGCATACATTTAGCCTTGGCAAGACGATATCCGTTTTTAAGCTCTATCCCGCACCGTGAAAAACTGATCTGTAAATAACAGGCACGTGTTTGAAACTAGAACTGTATTTTCACTTCACCGCAATGTGGGTGTGCCAGTCTAATGTCAAATTGTCTCATTCAGTGTTTTATGACAATCATATGGTAATAACCAGAAAGTGCCCTTAAAGCAGTACGAAGGGAAACACTTGTTTTGGCCAGTCAGGTGTTTCTGATTATTTGAGACGCGGGTCTGCGTAATGTTACATCAAATTACGCAGCCCTGACAGGATGTGAATTATTGTGGTTTAAGGAGTATGTTCCATATGATGGAAGATGAACAAAGGACCAGAAAGGGAGCATCTTTGACCTCTGGTTGCTAAAATGTTTGAAGATGAAAGTTCTCAGTTCAAGTGCAGCATTGAAAGCTGGCAACAACTGCACCTCCCCCTCATTTGTAAATATTCTGCCTCTTTGTGCTTTTTTTGTTGCCATAAAGCACAGCATTAGTAAAATATCTTGGAATAAGCTGACAACTGCTGAACCCATAAAACATAAAGTCTTTAGGTCTGTTTTAAAGTGACAGTTGTTTTAGATATTGATTTCATAGTGTAAACTTCTTCAGTTTGTGACACACCTTTATATTATGCATTTTCATATACCTGGCAATGGTTTTTGGACATTCGTTATTTGTTTTCCATTTACAGGCAAGGCATATAACAATAATATCCGTGGTCTCTTAGCAAGCTTGGTTTAGTTTTTTAAACTTAAATTAATCTTTTATTGAAACAAAATAAACAACTTTGCTTTTTGTTTGTCTTTCACTTTTCTTGCACTATGCTCTACTGGAACATTTTTTAAGCACTTTCAGATTGTATTGATCAAGAAAAGGTGCTACACAATAAATTCTGTTCTGCAGGCATAAGAGATGTGAATTAAATAATAGCTAACCTTGCATTGGAGAGATTGGTAAACTTACTAACTAAAAGGATTGCTGTAAAAAAGAATGAATCATGAATCCAATTTATGAGGAAAAATGAATACATTAAGTAAAATTATTAATTCATATAAGTAACACATTGATACTGTATATTAAGTAGTAAATTTTGACTGCTGAATTTGGAAAAGACCAGAATGAACATTCGATAGTGATCTGCATAGCTGGCTATATAATAATTGCTATTATTTTTAATCAAAGTTGAAAAAAAGCAGACACTAGTTTGAAATTGGTGGCAGGCTCAAGTTGCAGGAATATGGCAATTACTTAAATTGATCAGGAGATGGCTTCCTTGATAACCAATTAAGTCAACTTGCTGCTCGTGTTACATCACGTGGATGAAAATAAAACTGATTAGAAATTGGTTACAACATACTAAAGGCTAAACATAATTTTCTCTTCAAGTAATTCTGTTTAATAACGATTGAAGGCGGGCAAATCTACAAATATGGTCTCTATGATGGCTTATAAACAATAGTGTTTCAGTTTATTTAATTAGCTGAGGAAGTATTTAGAGGCTTAATTGAGATTGCACTGGGAAATTGCTCTGAAATAGCAGGTCTTGATTTTTCTTGGTTGGGGACGTGTGTGAGGGATTTCACTCTTCTTTGTGGATAATTAAAATAACCATAATGACTCCCTGGATGGCAGCTGATTGGTAATCGCATATGTAACCAGAAATTTGAAGATTGTAACTTTGTTTCAAAGCAACATGGTTTCCACAGGCTTACAAATTGCACTTGTTTAAAACAAAGGCTGTTTTCTAAGATTACATTTAAGACCAGGAAAAAAAGAAAGCTGTTACTTTAAAGCAGATGAATTTTATATTACCTCTAGGGTGTTCTTTCCAACACCACAAAGTATTGTTTTGACAGAAAATAATGAAAAATGCATTATACTTAGTAAAAAACAATAAATGTCTAATAAATTCTAATGCTTAATATTGCATATGTTGAAAATATAGCCCAAGTATGCACATGAAATTTAAAAATCATTTGGAAAGTAAAATCTTGTTTGAAAACATTTGACTGTTTTGACCGTTTTCACCCCAATTAAAATTATTTTGTTTTCAGTTTTTCTTATTCTGTTTCTTAATTAGGCTTTTGGATTCATGACTCGAGTGGCTTTACAGGCTGAGAAAATGAACCACCACCCAGAATGGTTTAATGTTTATAACAAGGTAATTACAGTAATCATTGACCATTTAATTCTCAGTTTTGACAAGTGAATGTGTGACAATGCAGTAAACGTATGAGCTAATATGTTTGTAAAATTTTTATTTATAAAATGCCTCATTTCTGTAAAAGCACATTGCTTTCACTGTTCTTTGAAATTATAACTATCAGAAGAAATATTAAAATGTGTTCTTATGCTAAAGACTACTGTATACAGTAGGGTTTTTTATTTAATGGAAAACATTTTATATCTTAATCCTGAAGGCTGTGTTTCATTTTATGATCCATTATTAACTCAAAATGACTACTTGTAGACATGAAAAACGGGCCTCAGAAAATCCTTTGGATTCCAAGTTTAGTCTCTGAATTATTGTGTGGCTCTCTGACTTTATTGTTAGAAATCCTGTTATTAATCCCCCGTTTATTAAAATAGCAGCAAGACTGGACAGCTTTTGGGCTCTTAATTTACCTTTCTTATTCTATTTGAGCTATCACATGTTTTAGAAAAGTACTGTGATTAAATTCATTTGCTCTTTTTTGTTGCTTTTCTTCTCCTTTTTCAGGTTCAGATAACACTGACCACTCATGACTGTGGTGGACTCTCAAAGAGGGACATTAAACTGGCCAAATTTATTGATAAAGTGGCTCTCACTATGTAACATTATGATTTAATCTCAGTTTTATATGAGCAAATGTAATCTGGTAATATTAGATCATCTGGAAATTGTGCGATTTTGAAGCAGAATGTTTTTTTTTCAGAAAAACAGAATATTTTTCTTCCTCTGCTTATAGATTGTTTTAGTTGATCCCATTTTTTCCACAAAAATATTTAACAAGTAAAAACATGACAAAGCAAAGGCTTTGATTGTGAAGTCTTTTGGGAAAGCAGTAAATGTTATTTAAGTGAGATAAACTGCTCTTACCTGCAAAGTTCTTTTCTATTTTTATTTTATTACATACAATCTACTGTGAGTGGACTAGAAAAAATTAGGACACCTCTGTTTCTCTTCTTGCAAATTTAACTGGAATGTTGTTTATATAATTAATAGATATTTTAAGTATTTTATCATCTCTGATGGCTTAATATCACAAAGTACCCACTCTACAATGTATGATGTACAAATGAAATGCAATACTTCACAGCAATGTGAACACAAATAAACCTTTTTTATTTTTTTGTAAGTTTTTACTATAAAATGTGATGTACTGTCAAAATAAACATGACAAAATTAATTGTAAGTGCTTTAACACAATCATGGAAGCATTGATGCACAGACCTGATCAGCCTCTGATAGAGTGCTGTGTTATGTTCCAGCCACTCCTGTAACTAACTGATGAAGGTTTGCTTGTTGAGGTTGATGAGACAAGAAAATAACATGACCAGTGAAAGAGCTCATCATTGTTATCTTGAAGTCTTACCCCTGTAATTCTAGTGTGCAGTCTTGCATTGTCTGCTCCAAAGTCAACATTCATGGATTGACTTGTAGGATTGGATAAACTATTGTTTCAGTACATTGTTTTGCATTGAGGAGATTTAACGTTGTTCTCGATCTGCGTGAAAAATGGTGGTTTTTGTAAGATATCATCACACACCCACTGCCCATCTGTTCGTTGTAATGGCTGTTTCTCAGCTGTCAACATATTAACATTGAGCGGCCTCTGAGCATGCAGCTAGAGCATGCAGATAGTGAGCTACTTTGATTCTGCTGATTCTGTGTTATTTCTTCCTGGAATTTCTCAGGTTGTAACTAGCACAGTCTAACAATGATTAAAGGTAGGTAGGAAAATGATAGATCCATAGCAACTGTGGAAACTATTACTTTCCAAAATGTGACCTTTTCCTAATAGTCACTTTCCACTTTCTCCAGATTAGTCTGCTGATTGCTGAAAAAGAGCATCTTATCCTTTGTGCAACTTCTCCTGACTGGCATCCTTCATAACAGTAACAACCTTGCAACCTCCATTTCTCATACAAGGCATTATTATATATTTTGGCACTTTTGCATTAGTAGATTAATCTTGTCTTTTTAGTGACTGTTTAGAAAAACTCTAACTAAACTTGTTAGTTTTAACTCAAATATCCAAACACTAAGCACAGTGTATTTTATGAAAACACTTGTTTGTTATCCTAATGAACAGTTCTACGAGATCAACAAGCCTGTTTTCTCTTAAAATGTACATAATATAATGTACTGTATGTTCCCAGTCAGCTATCAGTGTAAAATGTAGACTGTTTGTACTTGCAGTGCACATCTGTATACTTACAGTTTTTCACTTCAACTGTAACAGTGGTAGAATTGTCGTAGATTACAATTGGTAGAGGGATGAATCCCTATCCCTAACAGAAGTTCATGTTTTACAACCATCTTGATTTGTTGGAGAGCTGGAGAGAATGTTAAAATTACCCTTGTATTCTGGTGGGATGGTCATTGATTCCCCTCTGTCACCTGTATTCCCTTTACCTAGGCTCACTCTGTGTGTGTTAAATATTACTTCTGCAAGTAACTGTTCAGTGTAGTGCCAGGTTGTCGTGGTAACTGATAAAGGCCATAAACAAAACCCAGCAAAACAAAAAGAGCCTCTCATATGTTTATAGCACAGACAATTTACACAGAAGAGTTGATCAAACTGTGACTTCCACATCATCATTCTCATACTGTCATAAAGACAGTAGACCAAATGTTGTTAAATGAAGCATGAGATATAGTCTCCAGATAAGATACACTTGACTAGGTGCTGACCTTGGATTTATAATTATTTTCGGCTTTGTTCATTATTGTTTTTTCCACTGCCAACAGTACAGAATGAAATTTACTACTTATTACTATTGAACAGAGTGTTAGTAATACTTTAAAACTTAGAATTATCTAGGTAACTAGTAATGTTAATCTCAAATGTTAATTTAGGTTTGCTTCTATGGAGAGTTAATCATTACTGAAGGTAGTCCGTCACTATGTTAAATGACGTATAAAAGATCTTTATATGTAAATTAATATGTGAGCAGTATTTCTTCTGCTAATAAACGCTAAGTAAAATTAGAGTGGGTAGTCTCAGATTATGACGTAAATCGCGCTCCTTTCTGTCATGTAATTATGACCTCACAGTTACATGAACGAAATAAATTAGTCGCTGGTGTTGCTGGAGTTTCTGCGTCTTGAAAAAGCTGCTAAAAGAAACTTGAAAAAAGATTAAATTCAACAATGGAAAACGACGCTAAAATTAAAGGAAGAAAAAGCAGTGAATTTCTTATCGATGGAGCAGTCAGTCAGATAGCTCTTCGGCGATTCTCTGATTGGAATACTTCAGGAACAGGGTTGGCTTCTAGTAAAAAAGTGTAAGTAGAATAATACATATGTTAACCAAACTAAACTAAGATACTTGAACCGAGGAACACGATGCCTGAACTTAGTGGCGAATTATGTCTTCTCACAGCTTCTGAAGCTGAATCTGTGAAATCAGCTAAATCCTAATTTTCTAGTTATACTTATTTTTTAAATACATAAAAATAGAAAAAGGGAGAAGTGTTGGGAGGAGTGTGGTCAACACTTAAACTACCCAGTGAACACCATGCTCGTTTTAAGAAGCATATATTTTCAAATACGATATATGGCAACGTCTTTAGATGAGAGATTATTGTTGTATAAAAATAAAACCAGAGCTCAAATGAAGGAAAATGAAATCGTTATACTGAACCTTTGATAAACCACTCCTTTTGTGTTCAATATAATGAGTTTAATTTATAAAGAATTTCACGGGAATGCCATGTGTGTGTACAAACAGGAGAAAGGATATCGAATTCTATGATTACATTTCCAACATAACTCAAAAATCATTGTTCAATGGCATCATCATGTCGACAATTTTAATCAACGCCCTGTTCATGGCGCTGGAGACAGACTATGACCTGAAATACAAACTCTACGGCTTTTTTGAGGTGGGTGAAGTTATATTATCTCCTGTACGTTATTGGGTAATCGTGTGCAGTAATTGCGTAAGAGATGAACGTAGGATAGTTCATGAAAAGAGAGAGTAAAAAAGGTTTTTATACAGTATGTTACTTTTCATCTGTCAAGGTGATATTTATTCGTGGTCTTAAATCCCAATTCCATAAGAAAGCTGAAGACCTATCCATATAGAACATACGAAAATTTTCTTTTTTTAAGAGAAAAGTATTCGTATATGTGGAAAGTTGCCTACCAAGAGTTAAAATAATTTAAATGAGAATCACAAGAGTTATTTTCCTGAAACGTACAGTTTGCAGGAGATTATCTGGGTTTGGATCAAATGGACCTAATTTTCCTTGTATTAAAAACGAATCCATCCTTTTGATGTTTATAAAACGTCTATGGTATAAAGTTAATGATCGCATCTGAAAATGGTTAGCGTTTGAATGTTGTTACAGAACTGACTCTTTTGTGCACAGATAGTAGACGAGCTTTTTCTGGCCATTTACACCATGGAGTTCTTGATGAAGGTGTATGTGGAGCCCAAGGGATATTGGAAGAGCGCGTACAACGTGTTTGATGCCTTTATTCTGACCGTGTCCTTCATTCCACTATTCATCAGCGGGACAGGGATGCGCTCCCTAAGCTCCCTGCGCATGCTCCGCGCGGCTCGCTCCTTGAGAGTGCTTAAGACAGTCTCCTTTATTCGGGGTTTGCAGGTAAATGACCGTGCGAATTATTTTTCTTCTTTGATTTTCCAAGCTCACATATACAAGTCCATTAATAGTAAATTGCAGATTTCCACCTTCTTGCACATAGTAACGGACGATCTGTTTTATTTTTCGAGTGTCTATCGTCTAATTATATAATAACATTTACTTTTGTCTTCCTGTACTGAGCATTACTATTCTATACAAAGTCACGTTGAATTTATTACGCACTACAAAGACTGGATGATTAAATGACTGGTTTCCAACGAATAATTTGGGCCAACGAACGATTTCTTATTTCAGGCTCTGATTTCAGCGCTGTTCAAGACCCTGAAGAGTGTGGTGTATGTCCTGGTATTGCTCTTTCTCCTTATGTTTATCTTCGCAATAATTGGATATTACTTCTTCGGGGATCCTGTTACTGGAGACCCTCAAAACTGGGGTGACCTGGGAGCTGCCCTCTTCACACTCTTCAGTTTAGTAACTGTAAGTACAACTGGGGTGCAGACCCTATGGATATGGATAACTGTATGGAACATACAGTTTCCAAGACTAAGATATACACTGAATAGGTCCAAATTGGCTGATTAAAACTCCCTATCTTGTGTTTCCATAATGGAGGCCATCAGTGCTGAGGGATTTCTTGCATTAGTAATTTAAATAAACAATAGCAAGTCACCTTTCAGCACAAAAAGTATACTTGTGATACTTGTGATAAACTTTTATTTTCTAAAAACAAACAGGGAGGCTTAATGCCACAATAAGGTTTACCAAGGACATTCTCGGACCTCATAAGTATTTTCCAATTATAATACAGTGGATGAAAATACAAAGAACATGTGTTCAGCTTGTTTAATTGTTTTTTTATGTCTTTTCAGGTTGATGGCTGGACAGATCTGCAGAAACGCCTGGATGATTTGGGCTTTACTTCCAGTCGGGCTTTTACGATCGTTTTCATTTTGCTTGGATATTTCATTTTCTTTAACATGTTCATTGGAGTGGTCATAATGGAAATTCACGTATGTTCAGTTCTTGGTTTTGTGCTGGGGTCGTGCTGTAAAATGCAATTAGGAAAGGGGTTGTTGGTTTTGTTAGGCCTAAAGTTAAAAGACTTAAGTTCTGTTAGCTGCACTCCTGAATTAGAAAAAAATAATTGATTTTACAGCAACTAACTGAGGAGCCAGATGTGGCCCTTCTGATAATTGCATCCAGATGAACTTTAAAACCAGGCATCCATTTCTTCCATCCATCCATTTTCTGACTGCATCATCCACTTTTAAAGTCGAGGGTGAGCTGGAGCCTATCTCGGCAAGCACCGGAGTTCTCATTTTACTTATTCTTTTTTATCATTCCTTGATTCAGAATTCACTGCAGCACCACAGCACTCACTAGGACAAGAATGAGTGACGATTGAGCACCGGTCACTTTTCTGCATTTCTAGAAAACGGTTTGAATATTACCAACAGTATTTGTGGTCAGATATGTCAAGACTATGTTGTCCTGCTGGACAACTCTTTGCATAGCCCTACAGTGTGATATTTCTAGGGATTTCTGTGGAGGGAATCGAGCCTCTTTGACTTTTGAACCCCTTTGCATTGTTCGGTTAGAACCCCAAGCAAAGCACATTACAATGAATAAAAGTACTTCTGTACTTAACAAATAACAACAAATAAGTTGCTTTGGATATAGTAAACAGCATGTCTTCTGAACAGAATGCATGTTATAGTTAACAGCTAAAGGGACTATTTTTCTTACATTTTCTTTTCAAAAGCAGTTTGCAAGGTTTGTGGTTATTTATTTATAGTTCTCTTATTCAGTCTGTAATGTTTTTATGGCTCTGTACCAACTCCTCATTGGTTTCAAACTGTCAAAGATGCAGCCCAATGACAAGAGAATCTGTCCTTGGCTTCCATAGCTGGTGTTCCATGTAGCTTCTTCCACTGTTTTTCTATACTATCTCTACTGAGTTGTTGGCATTTTACAATACTACCACTTTCCTACGCTACTTACTCAGTCCCATGAAAAAAAAAATAGTTTCCTTTAATAGACAAAACTGCAACTAAAAGTTGACACTGGTAAGAGTTTCACATTTGTATGTATAAAAATAACATTGGTCAAAACTACATTCATCCATCCATTTTGTAACCACGTTACTCAGTACAGGGTTACAGGGTAGCTGCAGCCTATCCCAACAAGTAATAGGCACAATGCAGGGTACATCCTGGGCAGGACGCTAGTCCATCTCAGGGCACACACAAACACAGACACAACATACTAACACCAGGGAACATTTTCCCAGAAACCAGTTAACCTAACAGCATGTCTTTGGACTGTGGGGGGAAACTTCAGCACCTGGAGGAAACCCATGTGAAAATGAGGAGAACATACAAACTCCACACAGACAGCACCCAAGGAATTCAATCCAGCGCCACAATGCTGTGAAGCAGCAGAGCTAACCACTGTGCCAATGTGCCGCCCCACCAACTACATATATAGTATTTTAAGAATATTTCCACATTTGTATGTTTTAAGTGTCATCCACCATATTTTTGCCCAGTTTTGAATTTTGTTTAACTCTGATTAACCATCCTTTGCCATTTATATGCTCTCCTATTTTGGTATAATGTGCAAACCTGACTAGTTTATTAACTATACCAGAATCTAAATATCTAAATCATCAATATCAATTATGAAGAATAATGATGCTAATATATTTCCCTGTGGCAGTAAATATATTGCCCCAAATTTAAGTGTTAATGTGTGTTAATCTCTTATCTCCTCGGTTTTCTATTCATTAACCTGTCCCCTCCCCCACCCCTCACAAGCTGAGCAGTTTGCACATGGGGTCTGCTATCTTCCGCTCACACCATTTTGTAATAAGCTTCAGTTTTATGGCAGAAGGCACTGGTTTGTGGCTAATATGTCTGGGTAAACTGTGGAATCTGTTTGCCTTTTAGTCCTCACAATGACAGCAGAACCAGAGGATCCAACACAACACTGAAACAGAACTATTTCATTTCTCATCTTTACACAACGGATGACATCCTTTTCCATGTTTTACCTTTCTCTGCTTGCCACACCCTAGGTCAAACTGTCCAAAAACCCCATCTGTTTTTCACCTAACCAGGTCATGTGGTTTCATTTGAGTTGGGAGTCAATTAGCTGTTACAATTGAGTAAATTCTATAATGTTGTCATAGAGCTCTACTACACACATCAGATTCACAGGGCCCCATTATTCAAATAGTAGTCATGGACACATTCCTGATGATGCCATTTTTTTAAGATTCCCCGTTTGTGGCCAGTAGGTGTGAGATATCTTCCTAAACCACTTAACTGAGAGACTATGTGGGTAAAACTTCCTGACATCCTCTTCCTGGTGAGATTGCAACCATCTCATTGAGATTCTTGAAGATGGGTGCCACAGTTGAAATGGAGATCTTTCATGGATTTGTATAGCTGTGTAGATTTTATGAGATTATATATATATCCATTTTACTTCAGATCAGTCTCCTTTTATACCCAGTGGCAATGAAGTTAGCTTCCACAAGCTTGTATACAATTTCTAAGACTTAGTGAATGTTTCAGATGGCTAAAATTATTACATTAAATGACTAATTTAGAATGTTATAGAAAGAAATGTACAGTGTTTTCAATATATATGTATAGTATTTTCAATATATTTACAGGCACTGAATAAATATGAACATTATGTATTTAGGAATGTAATTACTTTCATAGGTATGCTATTAATATAGCCAGTACATCTTTTCATACATTTCTATTACATATTAATTAATACATTCTGTAGCTATGTCAGCTTTATATTGCTGTTCTTCAGGCATATGAATGATTTTTGAGACTATTGTACATAAAGCAACATATTTTTTGTTTTGTTATGCTACAAATGGAAGCAAAAAGCTTACTCTTCCCCATCTGTAAGCAGGTATCTGGATGCATTTTTTTTTGTCTATGCATATCTCTTGATTATCTAAGATTGTCATATAAGGAATCAAAAGTCTATTCAAGATTTTAATTTTCAATGTGCAGCATTCGACAAAGAGCTTTGAGAAGGAGGTACAGAGTGAACGAGAAGCCTCACTCACGCAGAAGAAGCAGGCAATCCTGCAGAGGCAGCAGGAGGAAGTCAGACAGCTCATTCAAAGCCACGTAGGTCTTTAGGACTAGACAGGAAGGATCATGTACACCACAGCTTTCAAAATTTCAAAGTTCTCAACATTCGAAAATTGAATCCAATTGTTTTCTAAGGGCAAAGTGAAAACAATTTCCATTTTCTTTAAGTTATGGCACAGACTTTATAAAAAATAAAATAAAATAAATGGTACAGTATAAAGTAAGGGGTTCGTCCTTATCACAAATTGCAGAGGGTGTGAGAAAATTGAGAAATCTTCATAAAAAGCTTAAATGTGTGCATAAGTGTTTAAGCGCTATTCTTATGTACTGTAGATTTTAAGAGACAGATACTTTGCAGATAATAATTGTACTGATGCAGATAATTTACTACTTGCTTGACTACTTGTCTTCATTCAAGATCCCATGGGGTTTGCGTTTTAAACTAGTTTCTTATTTGTGTTAAATTCCTTAATGAGTTTGTTATTTAATTTTTCCAATATATTGATATATCCTTTAAAATGTTTAAAGATAACATAACAGCAGGGGGTACTTAGGACTTTATTAACTGCAGACAAAAAAAGTCATATTGCAAAGAACTCCTTCCTTGTTTTTTGTCTGTAGACAAGCAACGACCATAAAGATTTCAGCATGCTGGTGGAGCAGTTCAAAAAATCGTTGCGGCGCACTGATTACATGGTTATGGAAGATCTTTGTACAAGCATGTCATTCATAGATATCTACTTAGCATCTCTGGATCATCAGGACAATACTTTAAATAGGTGGGATACCATTTTCGGTACAATAGTGTAATTCACATTCCACAAGCAGATGCATGCAAAGGATTAATCATTCTCCAGTACAGCCACATTGTACATTGCAGATCTGTTTCAGCCGTGCTTTAAAATGTTCCGTAATTTAAGTTAATTGAATTATGCTAACAATACTGTCCTAATGATGGCATTTAAATGGTGTTCAGAGAAAATATTTTATAAATATCAGTGCCTTTTAGAAGATTGGTTACAAATGTTTTGACCTCTTCAATCAGCTTTTAAGTAGATTATTTCCAGCCCCTTTCTTACTTCCAACTGAACTGAAAATGTACTGTTTAGGAATACAAACATTAGTAGAGATAATTCTTGAAAGACACTATCTCTTTTCACATTATAAGTGTGTGAATTTAAAGTAGTATTAAACATACAGTTTCTATGCATCTCTGCACTCATTGGATGCAAGCATTTTACCTGGTTTCCTCTCTAATATTTAATCTAATTATTGTAAATTAAACCTTTATTTTAAAATAATCATCTACACAATTATTTTTATCTGAGGCACTTTTACAAGTCCTAGTAAAAGGTGTATTAGGTTTTAGATAGAAGATAGATTTAAATTGACCTCAGTTATTATAGAAGAAAAGCTGTACCTGATATGACATTTTGTATGGTCTGCAATGTAAACCTTATTGTACACAGCTTTACCCAAAAGAGTAAAAAAATGATTATTTCCTGATTCAAAAATTGTCCATTAAGACTTATTTCCACCATTTTCTGATATAAGTAAATTTCTTTCCTTTATTGTCTTCCTTGTAAGAAATAAATAAATACCTCAGATAGAAATGGCTACTTTGTTTGAAAAGTACACATATTTTCATTGTTAATGAACCCATAAAGATAGGAGTGAATACAAAATCATAAAGATAATCTGATTGATCATTCCTTTCAGGTTGCAGCAGCTTTATTTTGAAACTGCCTTTGTATTGAGTCAGATTGTGGAAGAGGACTTGCGTCAAGCAAAGGGGGAGAAAAAGGCAAAAATCCTTGAGGATAAATGAACAAACTAGTGGAATCCTGAAGAAGTTGAACCTCTGTTTTCACAGAAGCAAATAAAAGCAGCAGTTGTCATTTGTGTTACTTTGGGTTGGCGTGCAAAATGTGCACTGGGAACTAGAATCTGTTAGTCCCGCAATCACTTATTAACGCATCACATTATATAATGTATTAAATTGCGCTATTTGACTATCAGAGTGATTTTGTGTACCCACCACAGCAAGCTGGTAATGTAATATATCGAATACAGTACATTTACATAGAATTATTTTAACAGAGGCTGTGTTGTTTTGTCCGAAAAGTCATAATGACATACTCTTGGATAAGGTAATTCAAATTCAGTGTTCCATTTTCCTAGTTCCATTCCTGGAAAGTCAAGTTTCCTTTGGGTTTTGTTCCATTACAAACTTAGGATTCTTCCTCAAGGTTTTTTATTGTTGATTTTTTATTGATTCCTCAAAACATTCACATCATTAATGGGGTAGCTACCTGTAAAACTGTCGGAGCCTGGTCAGACGACTGGAACATAAAAAAATGCTACAAATAAAAGGAGGCCATTGGGCCTACCTGGCTTGTTTTGTTGCTCAAAGTTAATTGATAAAAGAATCTCCTCCAGCCATTTCTTCATGGAGGATGGGATAGCAGTGGTTTCAAAACATGGTGGATTCCCATAATTCTGTGTGTAAAAAAATACAGGTCTGCATTTTTCTCCTGTTAGTTATAAATAATAAGAACAACTGTGTACCAAGAGGTCTAGTAAAACAAAAAACAGAAGACACTAGGCCTTGCAGGAACTAAATTTTAGACCGCTGTACTACATGAAAAATATTATATTAGGTAGTTTTGGATAAGAAGCAGAGGAATAGTATTTGTAAAATTTGTAAAAAGTTTTGTTGATATATATAATGTACAAAAGGCACTGAGAGCAGTAGCCTATTGCCATTAATAGTACTTTAATGTGTCAATAATTCAGATATGAAAGGTTGGTACAGTATTATAAGAAAGATACTACACATTGATTATGTGGTTAATGAAGTGTGAGTCAAAGCTTGGCACTGAGTGAGGGGCCAATAACTAAAGCTCTATAAAGTTGTTATCTCAAGCCCATTTGCGTAATTGCTATAAACCACATTATACCATAATTTACGGCTTTTTCTGTCACTCGAAATGAGACACTGCAGTGGCAATTACTTTTAGATGATAGATTATTTCTTCATGCAGACTTCTAAAATAGCATTTTATCAACGTACGTGCAAGGCCTTTGTAGTTCAAGTGTCCAATTACGCTGAAGCAGAAACCCAAAGCTTGTGCTGCATTTACAGTGTGTGTACTATATGACTACGCGCGCGTACGTTTGGGTGCGCGTTTAAAGTGGGAAGGAGGAAAAAAGGGTAACTTCATTCAGAGCCTTCATTTGTGAATACCTCAATTTTTCTCCACCCTTGACAGTTTCCATAAGAACTTGTGGTTTTCCATTTTTACTGTAGTCATAAAACAACTTAAACAAACAATGAAATTTCAACGTCATGCTTGATAGCTCAAAAATTCCCAGCAGCCAGTTCTAGACTGTGACACAGCCTACACAAAACCACGTAACTGTTTGTAAACAGTATCCTGTTATAGTATAACATTCACCAGCAACAGTACAAAATGCAACATAAAAGACAGCATTTTCTAGTTGCAAATAGAATGCTGGCATTGGGCTTGTATTATTTTTAAACTCATGCAAAACGTATTAATTGAAATCTTATATACTGTGTTTATTATATGTGATGGGTATTATTATTATGTGAGTATTATGTGTTTTTATTGAGAGTATTGTATTACAGTTTACAAAAGAGACTAATGAACGTTTCAAGAGCAAAACCTTCTGACCTATATCGAAAATATTTTATGAATTCACAACGTACCTTTTTAAGGTTTTCAAATTAAACTGCGTAGTTTTCTTTTTAACTCAACATGAAAATCCCAGGTTCCCCTGAAAACAAAGTCCATCGATCCACATAATTCCAATTTGAAGTATATATCAAATCGAAATTATTTTTACCTTTTAAATTTAAAGGCTGGGTTCCTTGGGTAAAATCGCTTATGATCTTTTCACGACTTATTTAAATGATTTTTGAAAAATGAAGGTACTATTGACGAGTAAAATATATCTCATGTTTGCACAAATTTCAGTAAAATGTTAAGTTGCAACGTCTGTCTCCAAAGTTACAAATGTCGACTGCAGTTTTTTCTTTAATGCCTCCCAGCTGCTTTCTTCTCCCTATTTTTCGGCCCCTGAAATCACCTTAATCCCAGAAAATTGAAATCCTATCTATTACAAAAATCCAGTTTCTTCCCTGGATCAGGCAGGGTCGAGCTCGTCTCTCCTACATTGACCACAGCAAACAAAAGCAAAGGGTATTCGAGGGATGTGCCTGACACACAATCAGAGTTTAATAAGACCATAGAGGACATGTTAGAGATGTACAAGCAGACAATAGCTTACAGATCGACGTTTAATGGTGTCTGTGCGCTTTTTTGTTGTGTTGATCGAGGATCTGCAGACTTTGGTTCTAGATAGTTAATGGTTTACACTGTCCAGTCTCGAGTACCGAAGCAAACAAAGCCAATACACACTTGTCGTGAAAAGTGAGCAAGGCGAAAGATTTTCGTGAAACCCTCAGGTATTTGGCTAGCTGATATGAGACGTACACAGCAGTTAAAATGCTGAGATCAATGATTCGCATCTTCGTTTGAATGAAAACCGTTTCAGCTAAACGTGTTCCTTAAATGTCTGGGAATTAATCATCTTGTTTTATTAATCTAGATAATGTGTTTGTATACAGTATTTATAGTTTGAAGTGTTCACAAGCATAAAAGCACGAACATTTTTCCATTCCTTCGATATTTTTTCAGTTAAGAATGTAAAATCTTCCCATTCTTAAAATATTCTGTTTAGTATTTTTAAAAGCAAACACTGTGCTTTGGTGTCCGAAAATACGCAAATTTGCAATAAGCTCAATAAAACCCAGCCTGCACCCCGTAAATATGTACGCTTTCCAAAACAAAATTTGCGTTGGACATATGTTTAACACACAGGTTTACCATTTGAGTTTCCTAAATGCATTATTTAAACCCATTGTCTTGTCTGTTTGAAATCTGAGTTAGATTTGATATAGGAATGTTATCGATTTTAGTAGTCAAGTTTCAGTTTTCATAAGAAATAAGCGAAAGAGGTGTTTTCTGTTCCCTTAATTAAGCTTTGAAAGTAACATTTCAAAGTTAAATTTGGGAAAATATATATTTAAAATACGTAGCATTTATGAACGCAGAAAAAATCTACGAGACAAAAAATATCTCATTCGTCTTTTCAGTACCTCTTATAGTTCCACTCAAACTGTATTTTAAAAAATAAGTTATTGGTTATTCTATTGCTCAACAACGATATTTAAAACAAGTTTTAAAAATCTATTTTTCTATTTTTCATTGACGACGGTATTTGTGCACTAAGCCTACCTTTGCATACGCTTACAAACGAAGCTGCAAAACGCTGCAAGTTCTAATGTAAAACGATGCGATTCCCACTTCAAAAACGAGTATCTTAAAACGTTATCTGCAGTACTTTATTAAGACAGATATTACCATAAATACATGCAGATATTTTATCAATCACCTTTAGGATACAGAATAGTTGACTCGCTTCTATTTTTTTTACATTAATATCAATTTATACAAATCACCTTGCACTGAGTAAAGCATGCTGTTTTCTATTAAAAAATGTTTCGTATTGGGAAAACCGCTCCAGAGTAAAAATATAAAGTTAAATTGGTTTTACAGTTTAAAGACGCTTCATCTTGACCGTAAAACACAACCATGCATTTCCTGCGCATTATAATGGGGTCAAAACACAAAGGTAACAGCATACAAGTTTATATACAAATTACATAGTTAATCTTCTACCATTTTGCATTTCCTGCCTTTCTTTTTAAAATATTTTCCCAATTCAATATTAAAAATTATTTTCAGTTAAATTGTCAATATTTCTTCAAAGCCGAAGAGAAAAACATGCCTCTGTCCTTTTTAGTTCTTTATACAATGTTGCAGTGTTATTAGTCTTTCACCTGTAGGAGATCCAATAATATGGATATTTAAATTGTTGTGCAAGTTTATAAGTAAACACATGCAACCCGCATAATCCATATGAAAATAATTGCAACTAATCCAGTTTAGTTGTCTTTTGTGCCACACGCAGGTCCGCATCCGCAGGAATCTAGTTTGTTGTATGAGCTAGACCGGCTGTATCAGCTGTTGTACTGGCAGGCGTTTAGACTAGATCCAGGACTTTGCAACCCGCTGTATCCAAAAGTGGGGTGCTGTTTGGATTTCAGTCTTAAAGTCGCCAGGCCCGAGTTACAAGTGTCCCTGTAAACGCTGTATGGGGAACCGGGAGGTCCATAAGGACAAGCGGGTGAAGATATAGCTGAATTGATTGAAGAACTGTTGATGTTGTTTAGGCTGCTGATGTTGTTCAAGCTTGAAGCCGACATACCCGGTACCGCGGTGTGGGCCATGGTAGGTGGCATATTCATAGAGGAGATAGAATTTGGCGCTGAGAACATGGATTGCGAAGTCAGCGGGCTCATGGAGTTGAAAAATGTGAAGTTCTTGGTGGACAGGGGAGCGGGAGCCAGGCCTTTGTTTGTCCAGTTGTTATACGTGTAGGCAGGGTACATGTCGTCGTAAGGCTGCACGAGTCCGCTGAACTGGGGAAGGTAGCTGTTTTTACACAAGTCCATTTGTTGATTTCGTTCGCGCTTTCTCCACTTCGCTCTACGGTTTTTAAACCACACCTAAAAAATACACAAACAGACATTATTTTCTCCTACAATTTTTTAATTTTATGAGCGGTAGGAGCATATGCACAATGTTCGTATCTAGGCCTACCTAGAAAATAATGACTTATCCAAATCTAAAATTTTGACGATGGTTTATACATCATTTCTCACACTAGGCCGACTCCCTTTTTCACTAGAAATCACATAACATTTAAGCTTTGGATAATTTATTTTTCAACACCTGGTGGAGACTGGTAAAAATCACAGTATCATTTTGAATAAAGGGAGACATTTTGATAATACAATAAAACAGATTTATAGCCGCAACAAAAACTCGGCTTGAAAAAATGTTGAAGGGTTCCCATTTTACAGTAGAAATTGAAGGCGAAATCAGAACGTCTTAACCTTTGAAAAACATTACAGGTCACCTAGTGGACGAATGGGAAAGTGGTAGCCTGTGTTGAAAGGTTGCACAGTCCTAAAAAACTAGAAACAAATACACAAACTCCCAGAACAAATAACAATGGTTACACAGGCGTATCTACTCACCTGGGTTTTCTCTCAACATCGTATCAAGTCAATTAATAGCGAATAGGTAAATAAACAATGAGGGCGATGAACGTAAGTGCAGATGTGAAACCACATAGTCCCACAGCCCTACACTTAATTTGCTTTAAACTATTTGTTAACACGAAGCCTATCAAGCATTTTACCGTGTACAGTTCGACACATGTAAAACAAAATTGAGAATCGAAATTGGTGTAATTCTTGGAGTTATTTTAGTATATACAGACAATATAAGTCTCAAATACCGTCTACTAAATATATATAAAATTACTGTAAAACGCCTGGAAGCTAACGATGCTCGAACGACCTTCAACAACAGCAATAATAATAATTTATGTACAGTAGTTTAATTATAATCAAAATCATGACAAAAATCGATGTCGTGAGAAAATACGTTGTAAAACTATCTGAAATAACTAAAAGCACTTTTACTGTAACAGTTAATGTCTATTTGTGTCTAATTTTGTATAATAATACTAATAAAAATAATAAACTGCCTGAAATACATGCAGTTCGTTTAATACAGTTGAAGCGTGTCCGAATTTACGCACGAATGAAAATGCTCTATGAAATGAAAATACTTATTTCAGCTGTGATCCATTCAACATTTCGGGACAGAGCATGATGTTTACAAATAATTATTTAAATTCACTTTATATTCTTTATCATGGGATAAAACAAAATGATTGAAGCAGAACCTCGAGAGATGTAACTGCAATATCTTAATTACTTTAAAATAAATTTGACTTTGAGAAAAAAAAATAATACTGGCTACATTTTATTTGGCGAATGCATAAGCCGCATTAAAACCAAGTACCGCCTATAGACCACTAAATAAAATGTTTACATATACATGTCTTAAATAATATATTGTTTTAAAAGCAACATATTTGGTGTTCGAATAACCACTCTGCGCTCTGCACATTTAATCACGCACAATAAAAGCTTTTTGAAAGGTTTAGTATGATAGATTATCTAAGCCAATAAACATTGACAAAGAACAAAAACAGCAGCAGAAACAAAGACTTTTTTAGCTCTGTAACAATTTATTCATACTGTACATATCTCCTTTTGAGGCTTACCCAAACCGTTTCCTTCGGTTAAATATATTCAAAGCCACAGTTACTGAACTCAGTTTGGTGTTTTAATCTCTTGTTAAACATACTGTATAACCTTTGTTAACCAAAAGGGTATGGGAGTATGGAACAAGCTACCCAGTCATGCTGGTGAAGTCGATACCCTGGCTTCTTAACCTAGAGAAAGAGGTCCTTCTGAGAGTTAAACACGCGTGTTCTGAGATTTTGTTCCACCTGTTCTTTCCTCGAAAGCAGTGTGCGAAAACGTAAAAAGAACCCGAAGTTACAAACCTCACTAAGTAGGCGTCTCTACTGTTTACATTATCATTATTACCATTACTATTATTACTATAATTTACTTGATTACGCAACAAGCCCAAAGAAGCGACTTTTCGTTTTATGCCATTGCAAACCCAGATTGACAAATAAAACTAATTTAGGCCTTCTGCGTATTTGTTTAAACTAAGTGAAATACGAGCAGACTGTGAGTTAACCTTTGAGTGAGCATTTCAAAGCATCGATAACAAATAAAAAACAACAAAAGTCAATCTACTTTAACTTTCCTGTGCGTTAACCAACGCCTCACGTTCAAGCCAACGAAAATTAGCAGCAGAAAGTTCAGGGGTTTCGAAAACTGCTGCTGTCTGTGCGTGTCTCGTTTGAAACGCTTTTAGGCGGTTCCTCGGGCCTTTTCTAGACGTCTAGGCCTATGCAAAGACCAGCAAATGAAGTCACAAAACTAGATGACTAGTTTTGTTTTCGTGTAGGTCTACATCAGCTACGCTAGATACAGGCATTTGTTTTTATTTATAAAACTAACAGTAGGAATGACACATCTTTTCTGCTAAAAAAAGCCTGTGATAAAACCTGTAGTATAAGGTGATTTGTGTATGTAGTAAAACAGCAAATATTTATGAAACCAAGTAGTTTTTGCTTAGCCTTTAAGTTCTTTCCTTCTTTTTGACACGTTTCATATACAATGAAAGGGCTGGTGCGCTACACACAAGACAAATTGAAAGGCTTACCCTCACTCTGGCCTCGGTGAGGTTAGTCCACACGGCGATCTCCTCTCTCGTGCTCATGTCTGGGTAGCGGTTCCGCTGGAAAGTGGCTTCAAGCTCTTGTAGCTGTTGGCTGGTGAAATGAGTCCTCTGTCTCCTCTGTTTTTTCTTTTTGCTGGGATCTTCGGGATTCCCGTCGTCGCTTCTACGCTCGACGCTCCGTTCTTTCTCTGTACGAATGGAAATACATGCACACACCTTGTGACTCCTCGAAGACGTATGCGGCTCGTTTAATTTGAAGTGGATGATGATCACAAAACGGAGTCCGAAGTAAATCGCAAAGTCATTCAAACTCTGCGTTACGAATAAATCTGTTCTTCACTTAAATATGAAGAACGAGCAGGATACTGCTTGTTTTCCAGTATTCTTTTTGCTTTATTTTATATTTTTCATAATTTATTTGACATGATTATACATGATTGCTACTAACCTAATGTAAATTTCATATACGGAATGTAAGTCGCTCTAAGGGCGTCTTCTAAGCGAACAACAAAAATTAAGAAAGTCATAATTAATAAAATGAAATTAAAATTTTAAGAAGGATAACTGAAAATTGTTGTTTACAAAGATTTTAAAAGGCAAATCACACAAAATTCTATATAATACAACTGTACTGTTATGATGCCGTTCACTCCAACTACTCAAATTATATTATAAAAAAGTAGAAATTAAGCCTTCTGGTTCTTATAATTCGTACATTTGCGTACAAATGCGACTAATTGTTAAAAGCTCATCAAAAACCACAGCTGCATACTTGAAATGGATGTTCACTTCATCCCAGTTACTGATTATTTCGCTATAGACCTGTAGAGAATGGATGAGTTAAGAAACCCAAGTGAAACATATTCACATATTAACAAACAAACAAACATCATTGCTCACTTTTAAACGTTCTTCTCTGAGAAAAGGTTATGGAATCATGACCAGACAAGAGAAAAATGTTTAATAAAATGTTAACATTTAAGCGAAAAATGTCTGTTTAAGGACAAAACCACATTAACCCGATTTAGCGTGGGAGACCGGTTTCTGCTTAAAATTGAGCCTCATCTTGTTTAAAAAATCTGAACTCTTGACTATGTGCGGTCTTAGAAATATGCTATCCATCTTGTTTGCTTTTTAAAATCGGACTTCTCTATGCAATGAACGCTCCATACAGCTTAACATTTCCGAAAAGTTGCCTTACCACAGATATCCACGGTTTAGAATTAATCATAAATGATAGCTTATCCCTTGAATCCTAAAAGCATTAACATCAGTGTAATTATCAGACTTCGAAAACAAAATCTTGCATTTCAGTTCATATGTTAAAAACATAAGGTGGTGTACTGTAGATTTAATATCTGTCCAAAGTGTCCATGTTTAATGCAAAGTTTACATTTTTGATGTTTGTTATAGAATCCATTTGGATGTAGCCGCTCTAATTAACATTTATATTCGTCCAATTTCAGAGAGCAAATTTATCATTTGTAGCAAATGACCGTAGACCAATTATTTGTTATTTTTATGGAATGTCTCCTGTAACTATTGCGAATAAACTTCTTAATATAAAATGATTTAACTTGAATTCTTTTAAATTAAAATTTCTTACGACATTATTGAATAGAAAATGCTTATTTAAGCACATTTTTGTACCTTTTCAACCCAATTTCCTTCAAATGAAGCAGCGAGAAATATAGGACAGATTAAAACAACACAGTAACAATTGCTTTGATTATGTACTGCCGTCGGGAATCTCTTAGAAATGGGAAGCTCTGTAGTTCTGGTACTGTTATTAAATTTAAGTCACCCTAAAACTATACTTCAATGAAACACTTTTCTTTTAATCATGTAGTCTTTCAGTAACGGCTCGCCTGGTGTTGTATTTAAGTTACAGGCCTACTATTTTTTATGACTGCACCGGTTCATAATTGACAGAGGAAATGCAATTGTATTCTTTGTGCTTAAACCCAATTTTATTCCTACACTAAAAGGCACACTCCAGGGAGAAGCGTTCAATATGCATAAACGTGTTGAAGTGCTTTGGGAAAAGCACTAATGACAGCAATCGAACGTAACAGTAGTTATTAACTAGTATCATACAGAAATTACAGTATTTTGTACCTGCTATTTCGGTATCTGATGATTCGCTGCTCGAATTTTCCAGAGTTTCGCGCTTGGTGCCTGACGTTCTCGGCAAGTGAAAGGTAGTGGCCATGTCCCGAGGTGGCGGGGGTCTCACGGCTTCTGGTATCCGGTCCAGATTCATTCCGCCTTTAAAAGAATGATGCTTTAAACAACAAACATCCAATCCTGCATCTTCGAGGTCCAACTCTTTTTTTTAATAAAAATAGTTACACCAATCCCTCTGCTGTAAAACACCGGTCATGTTGTAGGAAGGCTGAAAACGGGATTCTGGTAAAGGTTTTTTGTTTCACGGTTTTACCAAAATGTTGCATGTAGAGAAAACTCTTCCATAAAGCCGGGACAGAACGTACGCTTTCGGTTTTCGCAGAAAGGAATGAAGCTAACCTGATCGAGCTGAAGTGCCAGGGCTAGGAATGGGATCCACCCATTTTAGTATTTAACCTCCCCAGTTTTCCAACGAGTCCCACCCACAAGGAGAGCTCGGCCTAATGTGTCTGCAGGCCAGAGCGCTTTCGGATTTGTCTCCGAGGACATTCGACCGCACCGCTGTAAGCCGCACTACAAACTCTGGCAGAAAACGGGTCTTTCTTTCATGCAGTTTAAAGTAACCGAATTACTATGGCATCTGGCAGCGCGTGTACACAGACACGCGCGCTCACAACATGTATTTTACAAAACGGATAATGCACACGCCGCTGGTTAAACAACTCTGAATCCGTATAGGTCAACCCCGCTTTATTTCCATTCTTTCACTAAACTGTGTATACCTGCATAGTACGTGTGTGCTTTTGTATGTGTGTGTTACAAAGGTTCGGGCTAGATTAAAAAAAAAAAAACCCACATATCTGTATATTTACTGTTACAACCTTACATTAACTGTTTAATATGTGCTTTGTGACATGATTTTCCTTGACTTTTAAAACGTAATGTGTTTACGTCAGTTAGAAATTATCTCGGAGTAACGTAATTAATCACATTATGTAAACTGGATGATTTGACGAAAAGTGACTAACATATCATAAAACGGCTACAGCCATGCTCCCCCCTATGGTAATGGCCATTACCTGCCACTACCTGCGTACTATGCGTTTCCCTACAGGTCTGGGAAAGGATACTTTATCAATTGTTGCTGGTCAAGTTCAAGTTGTCTTAATAAAATACTGCTTTGTGGCATTTAATCGTTCCCCCCATTTTGCATTTCTTTCTGCCAACACTGGTAACATTACAGTAATACTAAATAGTATGACATCTCTTAGTAATCCAAGCGGTTGTAAAAGCGTGATAACAACGCGATTGCTCTTCCAAGCTTCGGTTGTAAAACGTGGTAATTGGTTATGTTACTTATTAAAACGTTCAAATCTCCTTTCATTGTTTCACACCATAATATTTAAACAACACGGCGACGTAGTTCACATCGCACTGATTTATAAAAGAAGAGCATTAACATTAGGTTTTTCCTTGACGTGTTTGCCCTTTCCAGGATTGACGGATGCTGTTAAAATAAATATATGAAAAAGCCTTACTTATCCTTTAATCTTCTTCAGCGAATTAGGATTCAGCTACAGGATTTTTATAGGATATATATAATGTGCTAGGTCAGTTAATTTGACATAATCAATAACAAGAGCTCAGGAAGTCAAAGTTCAGAAAGAAAGTTAAGTAAAAAATAAAAATGAAGAGCTCTACTTCGTGACATTTTCTAGTGAAATCACAAGCTTAAATATATTTCCGTGCTATTTTCATAAAAGTCTGAAAATGAACATTATTCTCATATTCTCTGGAATGTATATATATAACATTTTAACAAAACGATAGCTTGCTATTGCCTTAAATGGCTTTCTGTTTAACGTTAAAGTTAAAAATACATATATGTACTAACTTTCATGTTGTCATAGGTTAAAAGGTTTTGACCAAAGGATATTAATTTTACTTTTTTATCCACTGCTGATTTTTTAAAGAGACGTTGGAATTGGCGCCTACAAATTAGAGGATAAAACTAATAGATTAAATTACAGTATGTTTACCAATATATTTAACGTATCATAAAAGTATAACATACTGTAATTTCATCTATCATAATGAAGTTATAATGCATTCTGTTATTGCACGTTTGTATACAAATATTTGCGGCAATACAACGAACACACAAACTCTACACATCCGTGCAATAACAGAATGCATTATAACCGGTTTCATTATACTTCATTTTGAAATTATTTTCGATTTTATTTAGACGACAATAATATAATTAAAAGTAATATAGCAATATATAGTAATATAGCATTTTCGAGTCGTTCTAAAATGCACATTTTGATCTATTGTATGTGTAAAGAAGTTCAAACACATTGTTAATAAATAACATTTATGTAAAATACTGCGTTTGGTAATTTAGTTTAACCCCACTTAAGAACATATAACGCATTGTGTCTCAGCCAATATTTTAATAGTGTCCTATAGAAAGAAGAGTAAAATGAAAAGTGAGACAATATAAAAACACAAAGCATAAAACGCACTAGACATAATCATATCAGTATCTCAGAAGCTTTTGCGCAATATAGATGGCTAGCATTTAAGTTATAGGCAGAAAAACTAAACAATACTTTAAATCTTTATTTTTAGCATGTCAGCGTTCTGCAAATTGAGGAAGAGATATAACTCAATTAAACGACAGGTAAATAACCCCATTAATATAGTTAAAACTTTTTTCAGAAGGAGAAGGACTTGTTTAAAAATAAAGCTTTATGTTTAATTAGAAAAAAATGTTTTGTATACATATTCCCCGTTTTTAAGTTATATTAGAAAATATCCGCTTAAGAAATTTTTTCATCTTAATTTTTTCACGATTAATTTTATTCTGCAGCGGCTCCTGCTGGTTGAAACGCAGATTGAGAAAATAATAAAAGAAAAATTATACTATACAATGCGAATGCAATGTTTATACTTGTGTACTAAGTACTCCTTAAAACCCTCTCCACTAGGTCACGTAGAACTGACACCACGAAAGATCACGGACGCAGTGCTAACGTATTAAACTTTGTATTAATTTCATTATGGATTATTGATACTGTCACAAGTTTTGTTCTTCTTTGTAGGTGTCAATCAAATCCATCGCAAACACTTTTTTTTTGTTCTCTGTGAAATTAACAATATTTTCTAAAATTATTTAATATTAATCAATAGTTTACTACTATTTGCTACAGTAGTTGTGTTACAGTAGTTGGAGAAAATGGTTGTGTATTTGAGAGACATTAACACTGAAGTTCATACTTGAAAAAGGTATACAAATACGTGATGACTGCGATAAACCAAGTCAACTGAAGTATAAGATTTTTCTGTCTTTATTTCCATTTATCCAATTTAGAAAGCTTTTTTTTTTCACAGTTTATACTATCAAATTAATCACAAAGACCCTGAATGGAGAAATAAAACAGAATAAATGAGTCTATGTGAATTATAACTTTCTTTATGTATATATTACATTGTATATATATACTAGACATTAAAGTAGCTTTAGGCATTTATCAGAATAATGCAATACATAAAATAACAACCCTTCTCTTTGCTACTTTATTTCTAACATAAAACCCAACAATACATCTTACTAAAATAACATGCAAGAACCAGCCACACACAACCCAGTAAAACAATATTGCAGGTTTGACAGTGATGTAAGAAAATTCCTTAATGCCCTACAAAGTTATTTCTCTGTAATTTCCTAAGCAGCCTGGTTTCCTGTGAGACCTTTGTGTATTTTATATTCATAATTCATGTTCATTGAAGTTAAATATGGGTCATATTTGAATGATTTAGTAGAAATTTCATTACAAATACATACTATTAAAAAGGTAATTGTAGTTAATAAAAACAAACAGGATAATTGGGAACAGAGAAAGTACCAAATGCACTTGGGTCATGGCATTAAGAAGCAGACAGAACACCTGGAAATGAAGGGAAGAGTTACAACCAAATCAGCATGCTTATTAAGCTAAAATGCCCTAATAGGTTTTCCTGTTTCTCAAATCAAACACTATTGTCATTATGCTAGGTTCTTACACTGAAAACCATGGTTCCATTTCTATACCTGTCGTATAAGTTAATTAATCGTAAAAAAAAGCATGATGCAGTTTACTATGGCATCACTTAGTTAGATCCGCATCTCTGCTCTGACTTACTGGGAAGCACTTTGCTCCAGTGATTCTTTGTATTTTATGTCACTAATGAGACTTTTGACATGGGGCCTTGTATAACTGGAAAACCTCCATCTGGTGCCTTTGTTTAAGGTAACCATGAAACTGCTCAACAATTAACTTATTTTTTATTCATTTGTAAGGTTGCTTTGCCAAAGCAATAATATTCTAATAACAAACATACCTTCACTTATTTTCTACATATAAGGAGCTTCTCTCTGGAAATGCTTGTTAGTAGGGTTGGTAACCAAAATCTCTACAGCAGCCTTAATACATAGCTGGCCCTTAAAGTGAATATTTACTGCACATTATTAGTTTTGAGTCTTTTGATTATTCTGTTGTCCGGAATTTGCTTTTAAGAAAAAAAATCAGATTAGTCTTTGGTGTTTCTATGCATAATAAGACTTTGTGTTTTTTCATACACATCCTGCAACCCATTTATTTAGACACTGTCAGAACACTTCTACAGTAAAATTGGTTTTTGCTCCAAATTCTTTTTTCTCAAAGCTGAAGGATAAAACAAATCTCAGATGTGCCAGCATATGATTCCCATATATGGTTTTTACAGAAATGAGCTGTTCATAAACTATCAGAATGCCAATGGTCTGTTATCTTTTGCATTTACAGAATTAGTGGTATGATGTCAGTAAAGACAAAAAATGCTAACACAACATTAGTTCACTTTATGCAAAATTATTAAAATGTTCTAAAATATACTATTTTTCACAGTAATGGATATTACTGGTTAACCACTCCTCTCACACATAAAAACATAAAAAAGGCTACACACAAAAGGAGGCCATTCAACCCATATTGCTCATTAGGGTCCTAGTTGCTTCAGGATCTAATAATTATATCTATCCCAGAGTTAGCTTGGAAACTCATCCTAGACTCCCACAACCCTCTGTGTAAATGATTGTCTCTTGTTCTCTGTTTTGAGTGGATCCCAATTCAATTTCCACATGTGTCTCTGTGCCATGTGTTGCTCTTGATCTTGTGGACATTCCTGAGTTGACATGTTCTATGACTTTCAGAATTTTGAGAACCCACCTCATTCAATTTTTTTTTCTCTGCAATCCTAACCACCGGGACTTTTGAAGCAGATGGAATTGTCTGAAACTTAGCTTTCTCTTCAGTGGCATCGGTCCGACCTGGAATACTTGGCATTACCTCTTGCCTTCCCCCATCCGAATGAGCAGTCATACTTTGTTTTACAAACTCAACCATTCACAAGCATTGGAAAATGCCCACATTAATAAATGAATGAAGATCTCTGTGGATACAATGCTGTACTTAACCTTCAGATGGTGGCTTCAGGGGGATAAAAAGTATTGCTACCTGCAAGCTTCTCATACACTTTCCTGCTACTCTAGGCATGAGGCTTTGACATGCATGGACTTCCTATATGAGAAGAAATTCCTCAAGGAACTCCTATAAGGTGTCCTCTGATTTGGCCTAAAATAAGAAATAGCTTGAACATTGTCTTGGCATGCCCATTGTATCAGAGAACACTAATTTATAGGGTTTCCATTCTCATGAATGTGATGCTGGGGAAACAAAGATGGATCATACTTTTTTTAAAATACAACTTTGAGAAGTCTTATTCAATGCGGGCGGGTTTCAGTGATGATCTACACACAAAAAAAAAACCCTTGAAGGCAT